TGGCGCAAAGCTTTGCAATACTCAGCAAGAGCTCGGTGGAAGACATTCCTGCTTCCACAAGCTTTGCTGAACGCCATGTTGGTAATGGCTGATATGGCAGTACGAATGGAAGATGAAGGCATAGCGTGAACATACTGATCACGTATCTCGTCAATGTAGCCACGGCAGCTAAATCTTGATCTTGTCGGGGCTCCTATCGAGTGGAAGAAGAAGATCTCTGTTTCAAGATTCGTGGTCATGATTGGTCTCTGAATTAGTTCAGGAAGGTGAAGCGTGGACTGAGTTCGTGGGAGTGGAAATTCGATGGCCTCCGGGTCAGTTGTATGGACAGAAGACGGGTCAGGACACGGCCTTTGGAGGGTTTGCCCGTCGTCGGTTCCACGACCCGCGGTATGTTGTCGCATTTCATCAGGCGTAGAAAGCATTTGCAGTCTGCGGTTTGACAGCGGAAGAACAGATACCTGTCCTGCCGCAGATGAGAGGTTTCAAAAGGTGATGCAGTAATTTCGGTGCCGGACTAGGTGCGAAGAGGGGAGAGCTAGTTCGCAAAGATTTTGGATGATGTGACGCAACTCGTGAGAAGGTTACCTAGTGACTCGCAAAACATTCTGAACGTTTCCTGCGCCACGCTTCAGGACCGTGCGTGTGGCCGACGCTCGCTAACAGAAAAGACGCAAAGCCAACGCTTCACAGCCCCTTTCGGGTTCAATTGTGTCCTACATAGCGCCTCATAGCGTTGCTGGAACCTGCTTCTGTTACTGTCTTCGCATGTGGCAATATCCTGTTTGGTGCAGTATTCTGCTTAACACGAGCTTCGTCTTCCTAAGCGAGAGCTGGGGATGCTGCATGTTTCCGACTCCTATCTAAAACTAGCATGTTTGTGATGCAACAAACAGCGTAGCGATAGCAGTGGAAATCCACGGTCGCTCTTTAGACGAAGATCCTCATCTCCGAGTGGTACAGCAGCGCGATAGCAGATAACATTGTTCCTGTCCACGACCACCGGAACCAAAGTGCACTGGATTTGCCCTTACGACTCGGTATGGACTAGCACGAAGTGGACGGCGATTTTAGTTGACCACACCAGCTGTGTACACCACTCACTTAACCTTAGCGGACACGAGAGGGCGTCGATAGCTGCTACATCTTGGTCGGCGACGGCTAAAGAGGAGGACGGCTAGTATAACCGAGTTTGTTAGTCTCCTGCCACAAACTTCAAGCTGTACTACTAGTCGCGCCTTCATCTTATAGCTATATAGCTCTTATAAAAGGATAACGACTAGCCGCGAGAGCTGTTTACGGGTGGCACACTTTACCGCGTGCCTTCTGTAACGTCGTTTCTGCGCAATTAAGAACATGAGCGCTAAGTGGGAAACATGAACAAACCGAATTGGGACTGGACCCTCTGTTCGCGCTACGGCACGGGTCGGGCGGATCGATCGCTTAGCCCAGCTCCGTATACTGTATTTCATCTTCATCTCGTTGATGTACCTGCCATAGTGCAACGGCCGCAAGCAGATGGCTGTGTCGTTAATGGATCCACCCACTCTAAAGCAATAGCTCAAGCGCCAACCAAATAGGAGAGGGTCGATATTCCCTAGGGCGACGATTAGCTCCACGAGGTCATTAGCCCGGATAGGTTAGTTCCAAAATCTCCTATAAGTCATCACGGTCGTTCCAGCTCGCAGACTTGGTCCCCTACCATCAACGAAACCGCGCCCTAGCTGCCTCATTAGCCGCCGCATATATAAGATTTACTAGCGACATTAGACACTTAGACATGCCCAATGTTCTAGCGAATATAGCCTAGAATCTACACGACGTAACCGCGCAACAGACCTTAGCGCGAAGAAACTAGGGTATAAACGCCGTATGCGTCGAACTTGGCCTTACCATAGTAACAATTGATAGTAAAAAAGCGTCTCACCCGGAAGCAAGGAAGGGAAGGAATAGCTCCACGAAGAAGCACACGCCTGGAACAGGGTCGCAGGAAAGAACTAGAACAGGGTCGCAGGAAACAAATTGCATTGGGGGGAAGTTAGAAGGATTGGGAACGCCTGCCTTCAGACTGTGGTAGATAATGTACTACCGTCACTCGATCCGCAAATTCGATTTTACGGAGATGGACGGCAGAGAGAAGTGGACGGCGTATATGTTCACCAGAAATGTCTATAATATCTGGATGCCGAAGCACTTTTAGCTAATATGCTCGGCCATTACCTAGTTCCTACTAGACGTAAACTTCGACGTGTCGCAGCAGTCCGAGCTGCAGTGTACGGAGGGATCTGGACTGTCGCAGGGCCTTCAGTCTTATAGTCTAGCATAGTTAAACGCCGGGTCTAGATCTGCGGAAGCGCAAGCTAACAGTCAATCGAGCGTTGTGGACACCCAAGACATTACTCCGAATACGTCGTTAACCACAGGCGGGGCATTCAAAAGGCCGAGAACAGAACGTGGTAGTAGAAAGCGTCGCTAAAGGCCATTTTACCTCGCCCAGGCTCACAAAACAAAGTCGGAACTGGAATTTATCCTTCTACTTGGAACATGTCGTTCGCTAGAGTGCAACCCCTCTCCTTTTTCCTTCTTGATACGGTGTGCTCCTCTGCGTCGCGCGAAGTGCCTCCCTAATCACTTACGGATATCTCGGATATTCATCTCCACCTCTATTCTCCATTCGACATCGTGCGCAGCATCATGCGCTGCTTCCTCCAAGTTAGGCACCCCCCGGCCTGTGACACGAGCGGAGGCTGAGCCGCGTTAAGGTACAAAGCTGACGCTTAGCTTCCGTGGTCACACAGTCTCCTCACACGCATTTGGGACGAATACTCTCCTCTTGGGATGAAGGCGCTCTTAGACATAGCCTCTGCCCGTGATCAGGTGAATCGACAAGCCTCCCTCGAGTGCAAGATATCTGCATCTATTACAACTCTGGTATAGCTCGCTACCGGTGACCATGGGTGAAGAGATAGCACGGTAGCTGCCAGCAGGTAGAGCGACGTTACATGTTGCGGACGAAACGCATGTTAGTCTGCTGCTGAATTATAGGAGGCGTATATTGAAGGAGCTTGTTGGTTAGGGCCTGATTTTTGTTAGGCGACCGCATGCACGAGATAAGCTCCGCGATCAGAAGTCTCCGCTCGGTGATGTACTCTTTACAATCGGCTTTCCTTACACCACAGCATCGTTGCGGGAATCCATCGATCTCACGAAGGAGCTTCTTCCGCCAGAATGATGAGCTGTCAATGGAGCGATGCCCTTTTGCAGCTGCACAGGTGGGTAGCGAGAGTAACTACTTGGCATTTGGTATGCGCAGACGTGCAGAATGTCCTTCCGAACGAGGACGAGGTAGGTGATGGCGGAAACGCATGAAGTGGTGACGTGAGTAAACGATTAATATCACATACTCAAAGCCACACCCTTACTGTAGACCTTCTCGACCAAGTCATCACAGCGACGATGCTGATCCTTCCCACAGCTATGACGTTGCCAATCATTCCCTCTCTTCGCGATTGCACCGACTCCAGCAAGACCGTGGAGCTCTACCTCCCACAATTCCACGTCCTACCGAACCAGCTCTGTGCCACCATCAGAAATACGACCGGGCTGAAGCACCTCACTCCTCTACGAGCCCCATCATGTCCGGCCTCGCATTATCGCTTGCCCTCTTGCCCATCTTCTTGATTGTCTCCGATGTGGACAAGAAGCACAGCCAGGTCGATAGGATCTGGTCGATACTTCCAACGCTGTACAATGCACATTGCGCTACCTCGGCGAGACTAAATAAATCTCATATCATCTGAGCTTAACCAGGCTACATTACCAATTCACATTAGATGACCAAACCATCTTGCATCCTTATACAGCACGACCTCTCCGACCTCTCCGGCTACACATCGATGCACGATCTTGACCCTGGGGCCTTTCTTGTAACCCTTATCATACCTGGGGATGAAAGCCATCATGCCGCTGTCGATGAACACTCCCCACTGGTACTGAGCTCGTGGGCTGTTCTCGTGCTGGATGCTATCAACTCTGTGGCTCGGGCGGGTGCTCCAGCGGACAGAGGCACCATCAATATTTCCTTGCACCAGCGCACCTGGCGGGAATAACGTTCGACACCCACGTCCGACATCGGATGCTGAGACGCGCATAATGCGTGCTTGTCTCGCGGTCCCGTCTTTGGCTAGTAAAACGGCCTACTACAAGCCTGTCATGGGCTGAGAAGCATCGAAAATTTGTGACCCTACTCGTTAGTGTGAGAGCTTCTACTCTAGCGTCTCAGACTCTGGAAAAAATTGCACGTTCGTGATTAGGTACGCAGAGGCGGTTGGAGCTGGCGATTCAACACAGGAGTCAAGCAAATCCGATCGCAATTCAACCGTTGACTTACACGCCCTGAACCGCTCAGTCCGACCTTCAAGCCTCAGCCATCCATGGGTATTGCTGCTCTCCGGGACACCAGCGGCGAGCGGTCATTGATACGCTTGTAGTCCATGGCGTCAATGCACGCTTGCCGGCTCAGCAAGACGGCAGGACGAGTGCGAGCAATCAGCTCAGATTCGTATGCCGAGCACGCGGTCGTGGTGTCCGCATCATTCTCGCCGCAAAGCACAGATACGAAATGCTTGAGCCATTGCTTCACGTCTTTGATACCGTGGTTGGCGGCTTCTCCTCGGACTGAGAGGCTTGTTAGCTTCGCCTTCACCAATACTAGCGCTCAGTACATGCTTATATATCGTCATAGCATGCGCTGCGCCGCCAATCAATGTCACTTTCCCATCGAGATTATCCCACAGAGCCACATTGGGCGGCCAATCTTCGAGCCGGACCTGCTGCACCGGCGTGCCAGCTGGAATTTCCTCGACCACTTCACGAAACGGTGATGTCCAACCTTGGACGATGTTCTGCATCAGTCGCAGCCTTTCTTCATCAGAGTCGGGAACGTGGACAGGCTGGGCACGATTGAGGAACCCTTCCCGGTAAGGCCAGCCGACCATAGCCTAGCACTCGAAGTCGCTGTCTGTGTTCCGGTCGTTGCTGGTGGGAGTGTCAAGGAAAGAGAAGAACAAGAAGCTGTCCGTCTGTGGATCGCCACCTTGAAAGCAGAAGGGGTCGAGTTCCTTGAACCGTTTACCGACGTCTGCCGGGGTGATTGTGCTTGCACCCAGAAAACGTACGGGCACAGCCACAGTGAATCCATTGTCAAAGTGAGCTTCGAGGCCTTCACCATCCTGAATTATATTGACACCACGCTTAGCCCACTTGAAGACACAGATTAGCAATTGCTCCGAGCCCCCTTTATCTCGCTTCGCCTACCTGTACATCAATCCCATCCAACAGCAAATTCCGCAACTTATTCCTCGACAGCCTCAGTCGCCGTGTAGGCGGCACCTGCCATTTCGCCTCGTCAGTACTCAGGTCGAAGAACGTGAAGCGGCCATTCTCGCCTCGAGCAGTGGCTTGTGGATCTATGTATGTCTCCGGCAGTCTGTTGATGAGATGCTGAGGGAGCAGGGAGAGGAAGTCGTCCAGCACCCAGTGAGAGTACAACGCCCAGCCCTTTCCGCGATGGTATGGATTTGTGTCTCGTTCGAAGATCTGGAAGGTCATATTCTGTGACTTGAGCGCTTGAGCGAGAGCCAGGCCGGTGATTCCAGCACCAATGATCAGGACTTCGGGTCCGCTTGTTCATGCCTCGAAGCAAGCTGTCTCGCAATCTTGAACGTTTCTGGGGCGCGATATCGTCTTTCCCGACCACGCTAGCCGGACTGCTACGCGAGCCCCGGAGATGTTCTGTCTTGTCCCGCGTTTCATCAAGCACCTCCACCGGGCTTGCGCTGGTCACCATTGACACTATGCAAGGCTAATGCCAGGGCATTCCGGAGTTGTTCAACCAAGTGTTCGCACGCCATCGCACGAGGGTACGAGGGTTGCAGCCTTCGCTGCCGCGGCACTGTTGGCGGACTCGGTAGATTCATCAAGATATGTGATCACACGGCTATTTTCAACATGGCGACTGCTGGAAGATTCATTGTCTGCTGTATACGCCTGCGTAGATTTGTAGCAAGGGGTTTTGAGCAAAATGCAACATTGCGAACCCACCCTAATGCTACGAGGTCTGTCGTCCTTTGTCATCGCTGCGCTGGTCATGTCTCCTATGTGCGCTTGGTCATCGAGCCTGAGTCCTCTATACCGTCCTCATCGCGCAAGGGCAGGATGTCCTCCTCAGATCCCTGGCTACTCTGGTGCATGAAGTGGGCCTGCTTTGGCACATCCAGATCTCTCCCCACGACAGATTGTCTTGTTAAGGTTTGGAGGCGGGTTGACGCCCTCCCTCTCTGATCATATGACTCGTAAGTGTACGCATCAGGTTCGTTCTTGCCGCGCCAATGGCGGAATAGAGGCATTAGTGTTGGAAGGCACGTCAGGGAGATCTGGACACCTAACGATATCAGCTTGATGGTCGCATCAGAGCGGTTTGGGACATGACTCTCACCGACGTTCAGCTCTGCTGTGCCCCACAAGACCAAAGTCGAGTTATTGCCGTCCTTTGCGATAATGCGAATCTGCACCATGCGCATAACGGAAGAGAGGGTAGTGAAGAGGCCAAGCACGAATAGGCAGATCAAACCGACCTTTCGGCGCCGATCCATCTGAAGCCTGGCGAACAGTGGGATTAGGAGTAAAAACGTCAACAGGTCGCATAAGATCGTAATCGCAGCTGTCGCGTTCCACGTAGGATAGCTAGCGAGACACCATTTATGTAGCGTAGGCTGCCATACTTTGTCGATAGGGTGACACTAAAAACTCAACACTAAAGTGCTAGCCAACTGCGCTACAATGACGAAAATCATGATCGCCCAGGTGATGCGGCGAAATGCTTGCATTGTCCGCGTCGTCAAGCGGAGGTATGCGAAGCATAATGCGACCTTAAAGGATGTTATGCCGAGCATGTACAATGGCCGTCCAGTGAAGTTGATCTGCTCTGGTCATCGATTTGCTAGCTACGCAACGGCTTCCAGTGTGTCACCTACCACAGTATTCGACGGCGGTTTCTTGAGTGCGGAGCGACAGCGGCAAACCGAGCCCGAGTCAAGTTTGGTAGACGGCCAACACGTTGTAAACGATGCTTGTTGCCTTTCACCAGTTAGCATGAGGATCAGCTTTGCAGCTCAGCTCTCATGCTCACACAAGAGAAATAAGTTATGAAGTCATCGCTGTCCGGTCTCTTGATAACAGCGTGCCGTACACAACCTCTTAAGACTACGAAGACCGTCATGACTATGGTCAGAGACAGAGATATAGCGATGATAGTTATCACGTTAGACTGCGTGCTGACTTCTAGCGAGACATCTTTGATCCAAGGCATGTCGCTGAATGTTCCGTTTACCGTGTTGTGCCCATGTTGAAGCAAGAGGAATTCTTGCCCTCCAGCCGCTGGTGGTGTCGTGCTCGGAGAGACATTATGGCAAACGACCGCATTCCAGAGCGCTCAAGATCTGCAGGAACTTTGCACAATGTCTTCGTATTCCTGTGCTCGGTCGAAGCACTGTTCCAGCAGCTCTTGAACAGGGGGGTGCGCACGAGCTCGTTGCAATCCTGCGAGCTTTATAGACGCCCTTGGATTGGTTAGACCACTGAAGTAATTGGACGACAAGGTTCGGAAGACAGCTGCCGACTTTGCATTAGCTGTGATCTCAGTTGAGCACTGACATGAAAGGCAGATCCGGCATGATCGCCAAGACGTTACACGGAATGAATGCGGTAGAGATGGCTGCAATCCGCTGATTGCGCAAAGAAGAAACGTGCTCTCGCCTGGCCGATGACCACCTCGACCGAATTCTTGAGTAACATTAACCAGTCTGTACGGATCTTCGATATGCATTACCGATCGGACGTAAGGGTAGTCGACGCCCGCCCCTGCTGCCGTTGTATAGGCGAGAAACGGAGATCCGCTTTCGCTACTAATCTACTCCTTTAACCTGGCTTCCTTCCCATGGTCCAGATCTGTAGCAGTCCTCGATGGCGTGATCGCATTCTAGAACCATATCGGCTGCCGAGGTCGCACTGTTGGTGCAGGGCAGAATACGTGTCACTGCTTGCTTCACTTTACTCGTGAAGGAACGTGCGTCGAGACCGATTGGTACACGGAGTTCGTGGGATTATATCAAGAAGCATTCACCAAATTTCACCTGTGAGGTAAAGGGGCTGGGCACCATGATCACCACATTCGAACACATGCCACGATGCGGAGGCAACAACTATAGCCAAGACTCTGATCTGGATGTCATTCCTCTCATGTCATTGAGCCGTGCTACCTATGAAGCAACACCATGGCCATCATCATCATCGCTACCCTTAATGACCGCCCGCAGGCGTCAAGTGCCTAATGCATATCATTCCAGTTACTTCAGCACAAGAGAGCTTCTCTAATGAGTCTGGCTCTTGCCGTCGTAGTAGTTGGCCTTGCCCTTGTCGGAAGCCTCGTTGGCACCGTGCTTGACAGTGCCGACGGCGCCGTCGATCTTGTCGCCGATGGAGTTGCCATGCTTGGCCTTCTCCTGGTTGGCCTTGCGCTGTGCCTCCTCGGTGTTGCCGCTGAGCTGGTTGGCGGCCCAGTTGACGTTGTCCTTGACCGTGTTGACGGTGGACTGGATGATGCCCCTGCGGAAAGTTGGATTAGCTACGTGTCCTGAGGGCGTGAGGGGTGTCAGGATGGTAGTAACAGGTGACTTACTCGCCCTGAGCGTTGCTGCCAGACATGATGGATTTGTTGGTGGTGTTTGGGTTGGGAGTAATTTGTTTGAGTGTGCTTGGATTTGCTGGACAATTGTTGCTGGTTTGTGAAGAAAGGAAGATCTGAGCATGGAGATGAAGGTGGGGAGGGGTAGTTCTTACTCCAAACCCTTACATGCAAGGTACACATGACGTGTGATGTCATACACCCCACCTCCTTGCCCGTTGCCGCTTCTCGACCTCACCCAACAACAGCAACGTGGGCAGGAAGAAGCGACGAAGGGGACTACATTGTGAAAGTTAGCATAATGATTCGAACAGGCACACTTGATTTTACACATCATGCCGAGGTCATGACTATCTTTCCAGTCGCGCTCTGTGGAACAGAACCGCGGTCATATCATACTGAACAGGCAAATCCTTAGTACTGCTGCCGAGACTGTCATGGAGGTAAAGGCGTTTCGATCGACCTATGCCACCTGACCAAACACGCTTCCGTAATGGACTGTCAGACCGGATCGGCGAGCCCAAAGGTCGGATGCTGGACCTCCTGGCCTTTGCTAGCGAGTGAATATCCAGCTCCAGTACCGCGGAATGTCGATAGCAATAAATTCACCCTCCCACCCCATGACTCTCGGACGCCTTCATAGGTTCATTGACGCCGTGGAAATCGAATTAGGAGCACTCATTACTATGCTATCGCGCACATCGTCAACAGCCTCCCGCCAGAGAAAGGCTATGCTAAATGGCTTTGCAATCACGATCCCCGCATTCCCGCGAGACACAACGTAGACACGGTTCAAAGTGATGCGCCATATACCCTGCGAAGACACATCCTCCTCGGTCCGATTCCTGTCAAGGATGGTTATAGTCTCGCACAACACACTACAGCGGACTACCGTCGCGTGGGACACGGCTGTAGACGCACGAGCGTCCGGAGTAGGAGAGCTACTTGATCACTTCGATTTCGGAGTCGAAACCACTCGTAGGCCTGGTAGCAGCTATGAAGTCAGCGAACGGACTTGGGACAAGTCGCGGCAAGATCGAGTTCAGACGCAACTCTCGAAGACGATGAACAAGATCCGTCGTCGCATGCTCGGCCGCACGACGAAGATACGATTTCGATCACATTAAATATTGCAGTGGCTAGGCAGGTGGTTGAGAAAATTTTTGGCCGGATCTGCATATCGACCAAGAGAAACAACCTCCTCGATGACACCTAAAGGAGCAATCACAAGTGTCTCCAGAGTGGCGAAGCGGCACTGCTTCGCCATCCACCAAAGCTACGCTGCGTTGGGAGCAGTATGCAAGTCCAAGGTCCGCAGACATTGAAAGTCCTTCATGCTGCTCAAAGGCCTCCATAACTCCTACCGTCGTCCTATCAGCTATGTCACGAATCATGCCAGCTCCCTATTGCTTTACGGGCACGCTGAGACTTTGCACTCGCAAGTCTCCACTGTTCTGCTAAGAGATAATGGACCTCCCGAAGGTTGGTGTTGATAGCAGAAACCAGGTCTATATCATGTCAAGAGTATTTATTTACCAGTGGCTCTGAGCGATCTTCCGCAAGAGCTACTATATCACGAATCTTGCCCTCTACAAGAAGCCTTTATGGTGTGTGCCATGTCCAGCCGCTGGCCAAATTACGTCGTACAGACGGCCAAATTCCGAAGATGGTGCTCAAGACTACCTTCGCAATGTATTTGAGCTCTGCAGACTTGACCACTCGTAACCACTTTGGTGACGGATGATCGAAGCTAAGAAGTGATTGCTGGGTTAGTAGAGTTGCTACCAGCCTTCGTTAATCTCATAAGCTTACTCCGAGCAGCTCCTAGGACACATGCATGACCTGGTGCAGTAGGAGCAGTGTCTTCAATACGTGCTAAGCTTCTCGCTAGGTAGTCTTACCCAGGCACCGGATGTTCCGCTCCGTATCAGCCCTTGCAATCCGGTGCTAATTACCTCGCTCTTTTCTACAGCCTTACGATGGTTCACGAAGACGTGAATTTCTCGGGAAGCCACGACGAAGACACCGCTATGAAAATTGTTGCGCGTCCAGCACACTCTTGCAGGTCTGGTCGAGTCGCTGATTCGTGCACGATGATGTCATCTAAGGCACTGCTACTCGTTCCATCGATCTTGCGGAATGTCTCAAATCATGAAATATGCATTGCAGATGTCGCAAGTTGATATACATCGATAACATGATGGTACTTGCGTTGTTGCTGCTAGGTTTTTGCTGCTTGACGAAGGGGAAACTGATAACCTACAACAATTGTGGGCGTAAACTGTGTAACAAAGACGCTGATGTTTGGAGCGATGAGTCGCACTAAACCCCGATGAAGAGTCACAGTATGCGATAGTGGTGTTGACATGTGCATAGTCATGGCCAGCTCCAAACGCAAGATCAGCGACACTGCGAAGGTCGTCCAACGACTGCATGTCTCGTTCACCACAGCTCCTCGATGTGGATCATCAATCGTACTTCTGGCTCGAGATCATGGGATTGTCTTCGTTGTGTACCTCCAACCTCGGTCTTGTCAACGCCCAGCAGCCAAGTCTTTGGCACTCTGGAGGCCCAAGCAACGACCCCATGGGGCAAACGTACGGAATAGTCACCATCTTCCTTGGTACTTATGGCAAAGCATGGCAATCACAGGGTAGCATGTCTTGCCTGCATTACCAAGCGGAGGGGTCGGATCTCAGCTCTGATAATACTGTTCGCATTGCCACCAGCATGATTCCGGGACACAACGTCATGTCTAGGCGCCTAGCGATAGTGGCAGTGTTACTCATCAACACAGTCGAAGGTACATCTTGTATCCAAGGATATAGCTGGCTCCAGATAATAAAGGCCATGTTCTCCTCATTCAGATCGACAGAGCTTCGTCTAACCTGCGGCAACACAGAGAGCATCATGGCTAGCCAAACCACGCCCATCAACGCTGCAGCAGTGTACTCCGAGAAGACCTACAATACACATCTGAAAGATGGCTCCGACTCATCGCTCAGCTCAAGACACAAACACGATAACCTCGCCGAAGCACAAACAATCTTCGACGATGCCACAGCTCGCCGCATCACACGCCGCGTGGACCGGCGACTCATCCCAGCTCTAGGACTCATGTACGGCGTCTCCCTCATGGACCGTAAGAATGTCTCGAATGCCTACATCGCCGGAATGCGGCAAGATCTCAACTTGATCTCGTACCGCTATTCGCTGATCACATTGACATTCTTCATAACGTATGTCATCTTTCAGCCACCCTTGACGTACCTGTGTCGCAAGATTGGGCCTCCGATATTCTTGCCGGCATCAGATCTGGGGTGGCGTGATCATCGGCTTTGGATTCACTTGAAGCTGGAGTACGCTTGTTGGGCTGAGGCTGCTGTTGTGTCTTTTGGAAGCTGGCGTCTTCCCTGGTACGTCGATGACCTTGACATCTGATAGGTAGAACGATGCTCACGTTTTGTTACAGGTTGCGAGTACCTCCTCTCAACGTGGTATACCAGGTACGAAGTTGCGAAGCGGTACGGTGCTTTCTATCCGATCGGATCGCTGGCATCAGCTCTCTCGGGCATATTGGCTTATGGACTCATGTACGTCGAGCACGTCTTTGCAGACTGATGCCACAAGCTGATATACTGGCGTACACAGGCAAATGGGAGGTGTGGCAGGAATACGCGGTTGGCGATGGTATGTTCGCCTTGACAGCGACACAACTCGCCTCAGAACAATCCTTGCTGACAAGCTGGCTCGGCAGGATCTTCATCATGGAAGGCGTCATCACCTGCTCTCTAGGTCTACTCGGCTAATGCCTTATCGTCCGCTTCCCAGACCAAGAATTGTCACGCCCGTCCTTCAGATTTCTGAAACCAGAGGAATGCCAACTCGTGCTGGACAGACTGAACCAGGATCGCTCAGATGCAGAAGCTGAGCCATTTGCGCTACAGAAGTTCCTTAGGCCAGCTCGGGATCTTGAAGTTTTGGTGTTTTGCACTGATCTTCTTCTGCACAACAACTGTCACTTACAGCTTCTCCTTCTTCCTGCCGATCATCTTAAGGCAGAACACGAGATTCAGCGTAGCGGTATCACAATGCCTGGTTGCTCCACCTATGTGCTAGCTGCAATCATGATCTATGCCACATCCTGGGCTGGCGGCCGCCACAGGATACGAGGATGGATCTTCGTATTCAATACCATTGTGGGACTTGTCGGCTTACCGATCATGGCTTTTCACGGCAATCCCAATGTCAGGCTGTTCGGCGCATTCCTAGGTGTTGCCGGCGCCAATGCTTCAATTCCAGGCACGATGGCATATCAGGCAAACAACATCCGTGGCCGGTGGAAGCGTGCTTTCTGCAGTGCGACCTCGTCGGTGGAGGTGGTATTGGTGGCATCGCAGGGAATCTGATCTTCAGGACGCAAGACAGTCCGGGATGCACCTGGGGCTTCGTGGGGACGATCGTGGCAAATTGCGTGTTGTTGATCGCGGTTGCTCTACTGAACGTCGTGTTTCGGCGACGCAACAATCTGGCTGATGAGGGGAAGTTGGTAATCGAGGGATTGGAACGCTTTCTGTATACCTTGTGAAGAGCTTGATGGGACGCATCGATCCTTGATCTGCTCTCAGAAGAGATGTGAGCGACTTCTAGTCAGAGTCTTCTTGTATAGCCGGTAACAATCAGAGGCATATAATGACGCCGTTGAAGCAGCATCGATGCCATGGGCATCTCTCATAGGAACCATTGTATGAGGTCAAGCAAATCTGATTCAGGTAGGGAATATCCGAGGAATAGAACTCCCCTCAGCAGAAGTCCGCCTTGATCACGTGCCCACCAGTCGGGTCTGGCACCGCTTGTCTTGCCCGCTTCTCCCATCAGGCAATACAAAACTCACCATCCATCATCAACTCTCCCACACACTTCTGCAGATTCCATCGCTACTTCGCAGACTCACTTCTTGGCCTCTGAGAACGTCTCTTTGTCTTGCTGATTATGACGAACCGGCTGGAGTCGAGCATGTGTGCTCAAGCACCAGCACGACGCTACTTCCAGCCAAGAGCTACGCGAGCTCACCATACTACTTTAGCCGACTAGTCATATGGCGGTCGGGTTGCTATTATGTTGCACTTTTACGAGCGCTGGATCAAGATGGCGCATCTGTCGCTTGCGTCACCTCTCTCCTCTTTAGGCCTTTTCGTCTCTTCGCTCTTCCATCCCACAAGCAGTCTAGTCAGCCATCAGGTTTCCGGTCACCAGCCTGACATCGTGACAGTCTCGAAAAATTTACGAGAGTCGCGGGGATGCTTGCGATGAGGGCCGTTTCAGCCCTCTATGTGTTAGCCCTCACGACCTGCCTCACGCATGCTCGTGACGCGGACTTATCGACATCTGCCGGGGGCAGTACAGTGACCACATTCACCTATCCAGATTGCAAACTGTACCTTGAGTCGGTAGAGTACCGCGAGACGTCCGTACTCTTCGATGTCAACTGTACCAGTCCTCGGAAGAGCTTTCTGAGCCTCAACACTACCGCACTTGGTCCTGGGTGCATCGGTCAGTCTTCGCTGCAGAGGGTATTGCACAAAGCTGACTTCGGGGCAGTCGCTTTGTATGCCGATATAGAGTGCAACCTAATAGCGGAGACGCAAACAGCTGGGTCTTGCGTCACTTTGTACAATGATGGCTACCTGGGTGCACTCTTGGCCTACAGAATCTATGGGTGTCAAGGAGGAGCATCATCGCCACCTATACCATCCAACATGACCGGCTCAAGCACCTCTGCCAACACTAGCTTCTCGTCACTGTCGTCTTCAAATTCGCTATCATCGAACACGTCCATATCAAGCACGTTTTCAACAGTAACTTCCGCCGTATCGGCGAAGTCCTCCAACTACTACGCCACTTTGTCCTCGAGCCCAGAAGCAGGTGCACAGAACAGCGACAATATCGACAACAACGACGATAGCGGTAATTCGGCTTCATCTGACCGAGCCACCATAGCCGGGACTGTGATCGGCAGTGTTCTTGGCATAGCGGCCCTTGTGGTCACTGTGTACTTTGGCCTGATAGCACGACGAAGGTACGACCGGCAGCACAAGCAGGACCACGGCCGATCGCCTTCCAGAGCAAGCTCGATCAAACGAAGCATTGTGCGATAGGCGGGATGCAGTATGCTCACAAGCCTGAGCTCACCAGAAGGACTTGCGGAGGGATTTCGGCATGCATACGCTCTGTGTGTTGCGACCCGGCTACGATTTGAATGGCCGCCTTGCTTTGTCGCTGCTCGGGCTTATGTGGTTGCGCGAAGACGATAAAACGGCATGTGTGCTACACAGCTCGCGGATTTGCGGTATTCACCATGCCAACATATCAGTGTTCACCATGTCGACGTAGGCAGTACACTGGCCACGAACAAGGCCAACTCATGGGGCAGTTGTTAACATTCCATGCGTCGGCTACTTCGCTACTTTCCGAAGCAGGGAGGAGTGCAACAATACGGGCTTGCCACGGAGCGGTTCAGCTAATGAGTCGGGACTGTAGTGCCAGCTCGTTACCTCAGTACGGCATGTCGCGCGCCATCCAAATGTCACTTTTCGACCATAAGCACGGCGGTCTATCGACAGGTGGCGGCAATCGGAACACAGCTGCATACTATTGTGAGCTTGCGGGACCATTGCTTAGCCCGCAATAAATGTAGCTCTCAAACGCTTTGGCCGTCCCACACTACTACGTTTTATTTATGCATCCATGGTCCGCACGAACAATTGCAGGCTGCATCTTCGCGATCATAACTTGAAGTCATGACGTCCATGACATGAATTTCTGTTGCTTGCAAGCAATCATAATGCGAGAGCGAACGAGGCAGTGCAAGAACCACCCCTCGTGATTTACTTCAGAAAGCTGAAGTAAATCAGTAGACTTATCGTGCACTAGTGATGGCTACTGGCGGGACTTCGAGGCAGTGCAAAGATCTGACCCATGGAAAGATCATCCGCTTGCCGTTCGGCACCCGACTAGACGACTGCCAAGTATACCGGCCCAGACACTATCCTCCTGCTGCACCTGTGGCGGCAAGGACAGGATGACGACTACAGTAGTGCTTTCACGCCAGGGTCACCTAGCTGCCAGCAGCCTATCATCCAGACGACATTGCTTGTATGAGAGTCCATTCGCACACAGTCTAACAAATTCTGTTCCTACTTACGCGACATGTCATGTCGCCATGACAGCTCGTATGAATAGCGCTCTGAACGCTTCCTGGCCACTATACTAAAATATGAGATGATCCTGCAACCACAGCGCTTCGACTTAGGCGTCAAGCACGCCCCAATATCCTGGACCCGCTTGCGCCGTGCCAGTGTCTCCCGCGCATGCCAAATGACTGCCGAGTAGAACATCATGGTGCGATCGAGAACATCGTCCAAAGACGATGTTGCGCTACAGAAGCTGAGATGCTTCTCTTGAGGCACTCATGCCTCGAACAACGCGGTACAATCGATCCTTGCCAGCGTGAAAAAAAGCGCCAATGGACATTGCCAACAACTATGCCAGACCTGCGGCAGTCTCTTGGCTCAATGCTCACGGATCGAAGCACTTACATATGCAGACCGTGGCTGTGTACTATAGCACCTTGGCATGTGCGCTACGAATTTACGAGCGGACGAGACTGCTGTCGACGGAGATTGAAGTCGCCGCTGAGAATATTGACCGTGCTCTTACTATTGCGTAGATTCGCTTGCGCGAGCCTCGTAGCCGAGCATACCATCGTGACGTAGTGTAGGCTAGTCGTGATGGTGGAATCGAGCAACGTTATCCTCATGCGGTGATCTGTGCGAGCATGATCAGTCAAGTGAGTATATATTCAACGTCTCTCCTCCCCTTCAGAATGATAGCATCACCCATCAATTGAACCTCTATTACCTACCAAGCTTCGGCACCGTCCGGCCACCATTTCCATCATTACGTGCCAACTATATCAACATGCATACCGACATCTTCTTCATAGCCGCCTCTGTGGCCGCCATCGCTCTGGCAGAGGCTCCCGACCTGGTAACGGCTATCTCGCAGCAGCCATCTCTGTCGACGCTGTACGGCCTGCTAGGCCAGGCTTCGAATACTACGGCTTTCCTCGGTTCCCAGAAGAATGTGACCCTCTTCGCACCCAATGACGATGCCTTTGCAAGCATCGTGCAGAATGGCGGTATCTTTACCATCAATCAAGCCTCCGTCGATTCCGGCCTCATAGCCCAAATACTCGATTATCATCTCGTTCGCGGTGTCGTGAGGGCAGAGGACATCACCACAATTCCAACCTTTGTTCACACCTACCTGAACTACTCGAGCTTTGTTCTTGACGGCGAGGTATCGGGTTCTAATGTCACTGGAGGCCAAGTTCTGTCGGTCAATCTGAACGAGACGGGCGAGGCGCAGGTTGTAAGCGGCGTCAAGGTGCCGAGTGGCGTTGTCGCTACCGTGCGTCAAGATCGCACATTGCACGCACTACCGAATGGCAAGCTGACGAAGACAGAATGTTGAATTTGACAACGGCATCATCCATATCATACATAACTTCTCCTCATCCCTCTCAGTATCTCCGAGACTCTGGTCACTGGCAACTTCACGGCCCTGGCCGGAGCGGCCACGAAAACCGGGCTAATGGTCGCATTAGTTAACTAACTATGTTTATAGTTAACTAGTTAAGCTACCCTAATACCTTAACTAGTTAACTATACCGCTCTTTAAACCTTAACTAGTTAACTAGTAACCCTCCTTAACCTTTAGCTAACTAGTTAATATAGTTAAGGGTAGTCTTACTTTATAGTTTATATAAAGCTTCTTCCTAACTCGGCTAGCGTATTTCCTAGTAAAGCTAGCGCATCTCTTAGCCCTCTTATATCTATACTAAGAATATAGCGGAACTACTCCGCTATCCCGTATTCGCCTATTAGTTTCGCGCTTCTTTATACCTCTTTAATAATTACTTCTATTTTAACTACCTTAAGACTATCTTATTATAGCTCCTACGCGTAATAGAAATAAGCGTAAGGTTAGTATAAATAACTCTTCTTAGTTTAACGATATTCCGTTATTATAATTACGTAAACGAACGCGCCTTAGCTAGTATTTAATATTACTAAGAAACTATACTACTATACTACCTTAACTATAGTAACTAGTTAACTATAGTTGCGTAACTATAGCGATAACCTTAACTAGTTAACTATAGCGTTACTAAAACCTTAACTAGTTAACTAGTAACCCCCCTTAACTATGTAGTTGGTTAACTAATGCGACCATTTCCGATGTCACCATCTTTTGCCCAAACAACGATGCCTTCCGAGCCATTGCAAGCAGTGCTGCCAACATCACGAATGATCAGCTAGCCGAAATTCTGAAATATCATGTCGTCGGTGGATCTGTAGGCTACAGCACACTTCTCTCAAACAGTAGCTTGCCAACGCTGAAGGGTGAGGACGTCACGATCACCGTCGGCGATGACGGAGCCGTCTTCGTAAACGACGCTCGCGTCATCAATGCCGACATCCTCATCGCCAACGGCGTCATCCACGTTATCGATGAGGTCCTCAGTCCTACCAAACCTGGCTTCGAGGCCATTGCAACTGCTCCCGCTACGGCAGCTACGAGCGTCGCGACCCTGGTACCCTTTACCTCTGGTATACAGCCAGAGACTTCGGTCTACAGCGAGCTAGTCCCAACCACAAGCAGAGTCGCCGCTGGACTCGTGACAGCCTCTCCAAGCTCGAAAACGACTGGATCGATCAACGGATCTAGCACCGCCTCCGCGAGCAGCAGCGTCGCTGTACAGACAACTAATGCCGGGATGAGGATGCAGATTCCGGCTCTGTCGGCGGCAATCTTTGGTGCTATGGCGTTTGCTCTCGATCTGTAGTGCGGGCTCTCGTGCTTGGGCTTGGGTTACAAACGATGCTTGAATCAAGGACATTGGCTCAGAGCAAGAGAGATTGGTATAGCACGAGTTGCTTGTGAGTACAAAGGGATGGTAGCGGGAGACACAAGTACTCGATAGATCATGCAGTTAAAACATTTGACAACTCATCACTCAACTTTCTGCACAGTAGATGCCTGCGCTCTCAACGGCGTGGCTGCACACTAAATCCTCCATGTCTCACCCCCAAAGGTCTCACAGCGGTCCGAAAGCACGCGGCTTAGCGTCCCGTAGTATGTGTGAAACATGTCGCAGAGTTGATGCGCCGCCGAAGTCTGACCGTTGATCATTTCAGCAGAGCCTACAGCAATATGCAAGCGACCACGAGGCTGTGAATCAGGCTGATGAGAGTTCTCGGAGACCACTGTGCCCGTCCTAGGAGCATGTCTATCATTATTGATCGCACTATCCTACAACACTCAGGGAATTATCATCCATCAATCATCCTCATCAGTCTCCACACCAGCTTCAGCAATAACATCCGGCGCACTTTCGCCCACCAACGTGAAGGCCGCCATCCTCCTATCCACAGACCCTAGACTTCCCACACTCCCGCTCAACACATCCCCATCTTCTCCGGGTGCGTTTCCAGCAGCACTCAAATTGGAAGTCGAGCCTGGGATGCCGCGTAAGATGGATGATCTCCTGCGCTGTCCACTGACAACGCCTGGGAAAATCCTCGGCTCGACGTTGTTCATGCTCAGACCGCCAAAAGATCCAGACTGTAACGTGGAAGAGCCTGCCGATAGTGGCGTCGAAGTCGCAGTAGTAGCAGAAGGTGTGAGTGCATTTCCAGGTTCTGGCGGCTGGGGCGGGAAATGTGGTTGGCCACCATAAGTAGTAGGCGAGGTGAAAGTCATGCCACCCATACCCCTACTACCTGAGCCCATCGCCTGATCAGCCGTCCGAGACGAACTAGGATGATTCGCCTGTCCCGCAGTTCCAGGATCGACAAACTGACTTCCGTTCGCACCATCCCTGCCAAATTGTGCACCACCATCCCCAGCAAGCGGATTCGTAGCACTAGGATGTGTTTTCATACTAAACGTCGGACTCGGCAGGCCCATCATGGTAACATTCAACCCGGTCGTCCGATCCACCATTCCCACACCACCACCTTGCGCCTCGGCTGGCAGTGTCACCGTACTAAGGCGCTGCTGTCCTGCGCCTTGGGGACGTGTATAACGATCAATCATCGCCATCTCCTGCAACCACGTCTCATGCCGAAATGCCTCGCGAATATTCGGCACATTCACTTTAGCCATGTCGTTGCCTGCCACGCCTGGGAGGTGGAAGTTCTGCCCCAGCCAGCGCTGTTTGACCGTATGTTCGAAGCCAGACTGTAAGACCGAGTGCTTTGCAAGTTCGCACATATCCACCGCACTAAGCTTGTAAATCTGTGCTGCAACAGCATATTCCTCAATCAGCGGCTCTTTCGTGAAAGCGAATTGGAGAGGATCATCAGTGCTCAGGCTGACGTTCAGGCCACGCCGGAAATATTGAAGGAAGGGATTCCGTTCATACGCCAGGAAGAGTGCATTGTTCGAAAGCGGACTCATTGCCACCCCAATCTGTTCCAGGTAGAAGATATATTGCAGCAGCGGGACCTTACGCAGCAGTAGACCATGTGAGATACTATGGCAACACAGCACCGCCGCAGCAAGATGATCCGTATCCCCAGCCTCACCACAGTGCGGCCTCAGCACAAAAGTATTGAACCCCCTCTGCTTACGCCAAACATTCAGACTGGCGATGTTGGCGAAAAGGTAGTAGATCCAATAACTATACGGCGGATTCTGAGGCGTGTCCCAATTCCTAGGAAGCGGGAACTTCCTGTAGATTCTCCTCTCCGTCTTACTCTCATCATCCACGGAGTCGAAGCCGATGACTCTCTGCAAGAATATGTGCAGTTTAGGGTACTTCTGCGGACTCGCCGTAGCCTCAAACAGCGGCTGGAAGAGATTCGTGACGACCTCCTCGAACTTCTCCATCAGACCGGAAGATTTGTAGACGTCGAAAAGTCTCGGGACCTGAATCAACCATCGCACATTCGGGGAGAAGAGTTTGTTGTCCACCACCCAGGCAGCCAATTTGTCCCACTCGTCCAGTGTGCGGCCGTAGATACTGATGCGCCATTCAACCATTTGGTATTTGCTGCTTTCCAGATCACTAATGACTTCCTTCGTGATCTCAGCCAAATACCGGCCTTCAATATGGTTATCGGTCTTCAGAAAGATCGTCCTTAATCTGCTCTCGCCAACAGGATTGTACTTGAGGTTGAACTTGTCGAAACGATGGAAGGAGTCGGTATGGGCGTGCATATCCAAGGTATCGATGCTCAAATCATACGCCGTCAGGTTGATGCTCTCAAACACCTCTCGTAGGGTAAGGTACTTGTTATCCCTAAACAGCACCACTTCATCCGGACTCTTCTTCATCTTGCTCTTGATGAAGCGGAGCAGATGCTTTTGATTCATGCAGGCCGAATGATGAACATGCGTATCCACCTTCCGCACATTATAGAAGTCTCGATGCGGCACAGCCTTCGTATCGGCAATCTCCTGATACTCATTCAACAGAACGTACAGGTTAAATTTGCCCTCCAGATACTGCAGTCGCCGAAACGCAAACGACTTGCTTGGACCATCGGATGAGATTCCAAGTATAGCGTCCAGATCCATGTAGAACTCCCGTATCGTTGGTATCTGCAGAATCGGCTCGCCCATCTCCGCCGACTTTGACGTCTCGTAAACTTGGTAGACTCCATTTTCGTCTAGCTCGTAAGACATCTCCGCCGCTTCAGGTAGAGGTAAACACTCCTCCAGCTCAAAGTCCTCTCCGATATCCTGCCCCATCTTACGTGGCCTCCTCGCCCTCGCAGAAAGCGGCGAAGCAGGAGCAGTAGTAGTCTCCTCGCTCTCACCGTCAAGGGGCTTCGACGACCGTACCTTATTCTCCTGCCATACAGGCTCCGGCATAGAAGGATAAACCGGCCAACTCGGATCATCCTTGGGATTATCAGTCGGTCCCTGGAGTGAGAGTCGAATGTACTTATGCCGTAGATCCAGAATCTTCTGGATATTGCTGTAGATGGCATTCAACTCGGAAGCGACACTAGAGTCTCCTGCCACACCGACTCCTATTCCAGCGCCAGCGCCATGGATCCCTTCCTTCTCAAGCATCGGTTTCGATTCGTGTGGCAATCCTGGGTGGTGAGAATGTGCTCGCGCTGCTTGGTCGGCCTGAAAATAGAGGTTTTCATTCGATTGGCCGTTCGCGCGGATGTGTTCGGGCTTTGCTGGTTGCTTGCCTGAGTCATTTAAGTTGACAGGCAAAGCACTCCTGTACCCAGCCAACCCTTCCTTCGAGCCTCTAGCACCTAGCCTGAAACCGGGATTCCTGCCCGAACTACTCCCCGCATCACCACCAGCAAGACTCGACTGCGTCCTGGCCCTGATCACCGGACTCATGCCCACCACAGGACTATTCCCAGCCGTACCTCCTGCTTCATCCGTCATACTCACCAAAGAACTCTGCAGCTGATTTTGGTAGAATTGTTTGGCTTCCACATGCGACATTTGCTTCTCCAGATGGTAATTGTAATGCGTAGTCCTCCTCTGCTTATCACGTGGAAGCAGACCTAACACTTCTTCACTCTCCTCGGGCCCATCCTCGACGGCTTCGGGGGCATTTTCTCTTGTCCCAGCGTTGATCGAGTTCTTGCGCCCTCCAATACCGTCCTGAAGGTCTTGTGTTGCTCGCCTTGCTAGACTCGTAGATTCGTGCAGCTCGTGCAGTTCCTCTTCCTCATCGTGCTCGGTATCGTTCTCACTGGACACGGCAAAGTCTCCCGCTTCACTGTCGTCTGTATCGTGGTCGCGGGAGATGTGGTGGGGCGCGAACGAGGCCGGCATGGCTGATCGCTGCATCATGTTTGCTTGTGGTCGTACAGGATATGATCGAAAGAACGTGATGTCGTGCGGTGACTCGAAGTGTTACAGGTGCATTGTCAGACGTCAGACGGGCCGATAGACTGGAAAGGTGAGGATACGGTTAATCGAAGTCATTTATATGAAGATGTAGTGTACAACGCAGAAGAGGATATTAGTGTGACATCTTTGTGCTACATATCTGATTTGTTTACTGTTGGACGAAGCTTCGCCAGGCAAGGTTATCTTCCTACCAGCTGACATGTGACGATGACCTAACATGGGCGACAGCGTGCGCGACGTGCGGAAATACAAGTGGCTAGCAGTGCAGGAAGATGACAAGAAAACAGTATGATCTACTATATACACAACTACAGCCCTCACAGCCACTGCAGTCCTTGTGCCCTTGACCTCCTACACGCGACTATCATACCACTCTAAGCCTTCTGCGCAACAATCCTTTCCACATCAGCAACACTCTGCTTCAGAATCTGGTCCAGAACCTTCGGGTTCTCCAACTCCTTGGCGATCTTCGCTATGACACTCTCAGCCAGCTCCTTCTGCTGTCTCGCCTTGACCTGGCCCTCGTATCTCACCCATGAGTCCAAGACGCTCTTGGCCTCGGCGGCGACGGCTGTGCGCTGTTCGAGCTCGTATGCTTGGGCTTCGAGTTGCGCGGTTTCCTGTTGTATATATTGAGTACATGTCCATGAAGCTAGTTGGTTAATAATTGATTTGATTGTCGTACCTTGGAAACAGCAAACAAGTCCTTTGTGATGTCTATCACGCCACTCAAGTCCTTGACATTGTCGATCCTCGCCTTGACAGCATCCGTGTGATCCTTGCGAGCCGCGTTCAAGATGCTCGCGTACTTGTCGCTCGTAGCCTGCGCCCACTGCTTGTACGCTGGTCCAGCATAATTGTACACAGCCCAGTAGATGGTCAAAAGTGACAAAGCAACAATGGACTCTTCATTGACGACGTAGATCTCGTTGCTGATGGCTGCGACGGAGAGACCAGCACCAGCGGAGAGAATGGCGGCTTTGGAGGCGAGGTTGTTGCCAGGGAGGGCGTCCATGATGGAATTGGCGGTGGCCTTGGGGTCTTGTTGGGGGACTTGGGGGTTATCGGCTTTGAGGAGAGGGGTGGTGGTGAAGGCGCTCGTGGCAGGGACGCTGGTGCGGAGGAGGGTTGGACGGGTGCGGACGGCGCCTGGTGGACAGTCAGTAGGCATGGCAAAAGCACTGGTACATGGAGTTTCCTACCCAAGGCGCGTCTTGCTACCAGCGACGCCATTGTGTGTGGTGAGGATGTACTGTGAATAGGTCTTCTGCCGTCCTTCTCAAGGTGATGCACTCCTCAATGCTCCGACTGAAGCTTTGCTCGGATGTTGCCGAGGCAGATGCCTGAGGCACTTTAGAATTCGAGAAAGTTGCTGCTTGAAGATTGTAGATTCGGCATCATTACTTTCCACCACACGACACAGATGCCAGGGCTACTTAAGGCCACCGCCGGTACGGCGAGGAAGCGTAGACACGATGGAGATATCAGGCCTCGGAAGGCACCAAAGACGAAAGCCAGCGGAGAGGATGCAGAGACGAAGATCTTGCGACTGGAGCAGGAAGTACTGCAAGGCAAGGAACACTACAACAACATCGTCGAGCTGCAGAACGTCGTCAGCAAGATCGATAGCAAGTCTGAGACCTCGACACTTGCAGCCGTCGCATTGTGTCGAGTCTTCTGCCGTCTAATCGCGGGGGAGGAGCTGGTCAGAAGCAGTAGTGCTGGGGAGAGTGAGGCGCAGGTGGTGCAGTGGTTGAAAGCGCGACTTCGGGACTACGTAGACAGCCTGGCAACATGGCTTGGCGGTCGAGAGCCAGAAATGGAGAGTCTGGCCTTGAATCTTCTTATGCGGGTGGTCAAGCAAGAAGCCTCGCAGGGTGGGCGACGATCAGAACAGGCTTGGCGGACTGAGAGCTCGACTTTCTATGTTGTGATCAAGACTCTTATCGAGGATACAGATGCCGAGGGTCCAAGGGCGGAGTTCGTGGAGACGTATCTGGAGGAACATGATGATGTCCGGTATTACACTTTCGTCGCCATCAAGCAGGTCCTCAAAACCACCAACGAGGATGCGGAGGAAGTCGCGACCAACGCTGTGGACATTCTAGCATCGATCGAAGGAGTGCCAAACTCGGACGACCAGCTGGAAGACTGGTACGGGGAACCGCCCTCACCAGAAAATAAGCAGCTCGTCTCACTAAACGCACATCGCAAAGTGGCGCAGGAGGCATGGCTATCAGTCTTCCGATCACCACTCTCACGCGACACCCGGAAACGTCTCCTAAGCATAGCGACCACGCAAATATTACCCTGGTTCGCAGCGCGGATGGAAATGCTCGCCGACTTCTTGACCGACTCGTTCGACCAAGGAGGCAGTCTTGCTCTGCTGGCCATGAGTAGTATCTTCCACCTCATGACGGAACGAAATCTAGACTACCCAGACTTCTACACCAAGCTCTACAGTCTCCTAGACGAGGATGTTCTGCACAGCAAACACCGATCACGATTCTTTCGATTACTAGACACCTTCATGTCCTCGACCCATCTCCCAGCAACAATGGTAGCATCCTTCATCAAACGCTTGTCCCGTTTAAGCCTGCACGCCCCACCCGGCGCAATCGTCTGGATCGTGCCGTGGGTGTATAATATGCTCAAGCATCATCCAGCATGTACATTCATGCTTCACCGACTATACCACCCTGCTCACGCCATCTACGTGAACAACTTAGACTACACCGAACAAGGCATGAACGACACCTTCGACCCCCTGCAACCCGACCCAAACATCACTGGCGCAATCGACTCCTCCCTCTGGGAACTGGAAACACTGCAATCGCATTTCCACCCCAATGTCGCCACGCTAGCGAAAATCATGGGCGAGCAGTTCACAAAGCGGGAGTATTCGCTCGAGGATTTCTTGGATCATAGTTATGCTACGCTTGTGGATGCTGAGCTGGGGAAGGAGGTGGGGAAAGTGCCGGTTGTGGAGTGGGAGATTCCGAGGAGGATTGTGACGTGGGATGGTGATGAGGTCGATGGTGGTGTTGGGTTGAACAAGGTGGGAGATTTGCTCAAGAGCGCGCTGCAAGTCATGACATGATGGTAGTTGCAAACAGAAAATTCGTGCTCTGCTACTGACTCGAGAAAGTGGCCAGCTAAGCACACTCCCAGCAAGACTAGCTCTACCCGTACAAGAAGGTGCAGACCCCTTGCCACCGTACATGCACATCTCATAACCATACCCGCGTCGTATCGATATGCAGTACCGTACCACAGCCCATGGTAATAAAAAATGCATGTTGCTGATGTCTCACTCCAGCCATTTTAGCCGGAAGATCAGCATCGGGTCCCGAGAGATCGACACTGCATACAGTACCAGAGTAACATCCCCGCATATCAGCACGACTTACCTCTAGATACTTGAGGAGAGGTCTCGCGGCTTACTGTGGGGTTGGTGGGACGTTCTCCACGATACACCATAGGGCGCTCTCTGTCGTCGAGTCAGTAAGAGGCTTGAATCGAAGCTACTCGGTACAGTCTTGCCGTTGCTTGTTCGCCCGGCTAAAGTGAGATGGCATTGCTCGTGCTTGAGAAGTAGAACAATGGCAGTCAGATGCGAGGAGGTTCCCTATATGATCATCTCTCCACGCAGCTTTACTGCTTACCTTAATTCTCCTTTCCAAGCATCGCTTGGATTGAGTTTGACAACATGGACAAGAACCAGAACCAGATCATTGCTGGGACAAGTGGCAGAGGAGACACGACAATCAATGTTCAACAGCTTCTGACGAAGCCATGGTACAAGTATCCTCACCTTCGAGCGCTGTATGGATGGCTCAGCGTGGTGTTGATGGTGCAGGCTACAAATGGATTTGATGGGAGTTTGATGAATGGTAGGATCTACTTTACCTCTCACACCATGTTGAGGGAGATCCTCTGACACATTGCACAGGTCTCCAAGCCTTAACCTACTGGCAAGAGTGTAAGTACAGCATCACGGCAGACCACGCATGCAACAACAAAGCCTGGTTTCTAATCCTCAGTCCCAGACTTCCACCACCCTACCGGCGCTCAACTCGGCATCTTCAATGGCACCCAAGGCCTCGGCTCCGTCTTCGCGGTCTTCTTCCTATGGTGGCTAGTCGAGAAAGTCGGCCGAAGGATTACAATCATGATGGGCGCCGTCATCATCATCGTGGGTGTCTTCCTCCAATCCTTCGCCCACAACCTGGCCATGTTCGCCAGTGCAAGGGCAATCATCGGGATGGGTTTGAGCTTTGAGTATACAGCCGCTCCAATGCTAGTAGCAGAGCTTGCGCACCCGACGCATCGGGCGCAGTTGAGCACGTTGCTCAATACTCTATACTACTTTGGAGCTACGATCGCTGCTTGGGTCACGCTGGGGACGTTAACGATACAAAGTGATTGGAGTTGGAGGAGCGTGAGTATGTTGCAGATGTTCCCGTCCGTCATCTCAATCACACTTACGTGGTTCGTGCCTGAGTCGCCCAGGTGGTGAGTATTGTACACCCTCGTCTGGATTTCATCACCAGCTAACGAGTTCACAGGCTCATCCGCAACGGCAAAGTCGAGCAAGCTCGTGAGATCCTACTTAAGTACCACTGCGGCGGCGACGAGGATGATCCGCTGGTGAACTTCGAGATGCAGGAGATTGAGACAACGATTGCCTTCGAGAGGGAGACGAGCAACGGTGGCTGGTTGGCATTGTTCAAGACTCGTGGCAATCGATGGAGGACATGGATTGTTGCGTCCATCTCCTTCTTGACTCAGGCGACGGGTACGACTCTCATCGGATACTATCTGGTTGTCGTCCTGTCTGGCATTGGAATCACGAATCCTCGCACGCAATCCATCATCAACGGATGTTTGACAATGTGGAATATGGGCTGGGTAAGTGATCACTTCGCATTGCCAAACAATCTGCTTCTGCTAACAACAATACAACAGGCCTTCTGGGGCGCCTCTGTCATCGACAAATACGGACGACGGCCTATGATGTTGACATCGTTGACCGGTCAACTGCTTTGCGGCTTTCTCCCGTGGACAATTTGTAACGCGCTATACACAAAATACGACAACGTACAAGCTGGCCACGCCGTCATAGCGTTCATATTCGTCGCTTCAGCCTTCTACGCCACGACATGGAACGGAATCTTGACTGGCTATACGGTTGAATGTATGGCTTACGATACACGTAGTAAATTGATCGTCACCCAGAACTTCCTGGTCCAGGCTAGTATCACGGGCTTCAACTACCTCAATCCTGTGGCACTAGAGAACATCGGCTGGAAGTATTACATCGTAATTGATCTGATCATCGTCTTGGCCTTTGTGATTGTATACTTCACATATCCCGAGACATCGAAGATCACGTTGGAGGAGGTCAGTACGATCTTCGACGGTAAGCATGCCGTAAAGAACGATCTGCTGCAGGAGCAGATCGTCATGGATGCTACGAAGGGCGGAGATGGGGACAAAGCTGTCACTGTTGAGAGGCGTGAGGTATGAGCTGTCTGCTCGAGGTTTTGACCGCTGGTGGGTGCTCTTGTTATCTCCTGCATGCAGCCGCTGTACATGATCTTGCAGTCGACTGTATGCATCCTATCAACCACTTTCTTGAAGAGAGAACATTTGGAGTCGATCCCACATCGGCGAGCTTGGTACCGGAAGTCAGATAGAGAGCATGAAATTGCCGATACTACCTGATTAATTGAGTTTCCGTCCAGTCCCCGCATTTTTTCTCTCCAGACCTCATCTCGTGTCTTCGCCTGGAGCAAATCTCATGCATGTACATGTACGCCATAGTATTTCTCGTCCGCTTCCTTCTTCACCCCGAACTTCGTTTCCTCCTTGACCGCAGGCTCTTCCTAATTTGCCTTCTCCCTCGTAGGAAGCGACGTGGCGGAGGATGTTAGAACAGGGCTGCGAAGCGGTTGGAAGGTGGCCGATGAGCCCGACTGGAGGATAGACTATGCCTCATGTTAGTAAGGTGGTAAAGTATAGAGGGATTTTCCGTGGGTGTCTTACCGCACGAGACTCCTGCTTTCCCAGGCACACACTGCCAGGCTTGTGACGGTGGTTAAAGAGTGGCTCTGCTCCCTTTGCCTACTTGTCCATGATAGCCTCTACTCTCTGCATCGCCTCATTCGCATCCTCTGACTGATGTTCCTGCATGCGATCGTAGTCCTCAACAAACACCGTGCCCGGCACACCCGATGCGCTGTCAATCTCCATCGCCATCGCCTCTATCTCTGCACGCGCCTTCTCCTCTCCCATCCTCAACAATTCTACCGAGTGGGTGAAGGCGAACATGAGCGTCTCGAACCTGATTCTGGGCCTGCTACCCACGATACTAGCAGTAATCGCACCAAGCCTGACAGAGATGGCGGTGCTAGGCGTGCATCGGCCGATCCTCTCCATACTACTCTCTGTGTCTTCTCCAGCAGTCTTGCAGAGCCGAGTCTTCACTTTCGAGAGTCCAGGCGAAGTTTTGATCATCGAGTATTCCCGCCACGATATTCGGCATCCAATCACTGTGGGTCCCTGGTCTGCTCAAGCGTCGTTAATCGCTGGAGTCTGCAGCTACGTGAGTGCCCCCGCGGCACTCCCCAACACACTCACCCTGGTCACTCAGATAACGAACAACCCCATCCTGGCCTGGGGGTGCACAAGAACCTGGCCATTGTTCGTGTGGATGTTTGTGCCGGCCATCATACACATCCTTGCCACAGCTGGATACTATCTCACGCTGAAGGAGACAAGTGGCGAAAGAGGCAACGAGTCAGCAACACCGGCTGAGGAGGAAATACCGATGCACAGCATAGTCAATAGAGGCAAAGGTGTCGATACTGCATCGACCGAGACTACGAACACGATCCAGTCACCGTCAGAAGCGGCTCGGCATCGATCCCTACGACAGAGGCCTCGTGACAAATTCATGTCATGTGCTTCACATCTCCACCCCTGCTACGAGAATCGATACAAATCCCGGCCGAACGACCTGCGCACCGGTATCATCCTCAACGGCGTCGCAGGATTCATGGAATTTCTCCACCTGGTCTTTGCAACAGTGTCGTTCTCAGCGCTGCTCTTCATTGTACAACTGGACGCCATTGGACAGATTGCGATGCGATTTCTGTGCTCGGCACTAGTCTGTCGTTTCGTGGTCAGGTTTGAGATAGCAGGTTTACGTGGAAGACATTCCGGTATAGAGAATGAGCACGGTGAAGCAGTACACTCCCATAGTAAGCAGCGTGAGCGCATCGACGATCCTTCGGCTTCCACAAACCATAGTCGACGGCCTTTTGCGCGATTACATAGTGTATCTTGAGGAGATTACATGAGACATGTATACATACCTCCAGCTGTCTCTTCTGTCATAATCTTACGACCACAACTATATATGTAATGCAGACTTGCGTCACGTGACAAGTAGCATATCTTGAGCTTACGCCACTTTCGCATCGTTCTGGTATCATCCTGTTGCCGGCTCATAGTACATGATATTGAGCAGTGAGGGGCGAGGCGGGAACTTAGCCGTCTTGCTTTGTGCGGTGATGTTGCTGGCTTTGTGCGGACTGTCCGCCGAGCAAAGTGATAGCCAGAGTGAGGTGCTGGAGAGGCGGAGCAGATGTGATGAGACGTAGCGATTATTGTGTCAGCTTACATTGGCGAAGGAGGAATAGATGCAGAGGCGATGAAACGCGCTTGCATTGTGGTTAGACATAAAGGTGGAAGTGTGAGTAGCAAGAAGACAGGATCTCGTCTCGTCTTGCGGAGATGTGAAGACGATGTAAGAGTAGAGGATGGCAATCCTACGTGTTATCCCTGGATTACTCTTCGTGCCTGCTAGTCTTGCCTACAAGGCCGAGTGCAAAATATCTGCTAGTCGAGTCACATTTCAAAAGTTGTTGTGTAATCGATGTCCTCAACGAGTAAGATCGTGGTTTTTCATTTGGAGCATAACCTGTGTCCCACAGGTCTGATATCCCAGTCGGCGCGGATCCTGCTTTGGTCGAACTCTTCCGGCGGTTGCGCCCGAGTCCAAGCAGATAGAACACCAGATCTTCTATACCCCTTGGTCCGAATCCCCTCCAACTCCTCAACCATCCACTTGCAGTCACCGCAGCTTGATCCCACTCAAGCAAAAATTAAGGAGCAAAAGAGAATCTCATCAACAGCCAAGCCCAGCTTTGTCAATCCGATGAGTCAAGAAACCCCCACAGGATAAGAACAGCACTTTTCGCCCGGCTTTGTTTATTCACCGGCTTCACTTCTGACTACCGTTCGGATCCCATGGCCAATACACATAGTACTGAGCATGCCACCCTTGTTCAGACCATGATGGACACGATGAGTGGGCACTGAGACGCCTTTCATCTGGACACTCAGCGGGGTGGCGATGCGAGGTTTACTTATTTGATGCAGTGGGTAATTGTATTCGGAAGTTTGAGCTTCTGAAGGAGTTGCATGGCCTCCTGCACCCGTAGGTGGTGGAAGTTGGGTTTGGTGATGATATATGACCTATTAAAAGGAGAGTTGCCGGGGTTCTGCCGAAAGCGGGTGAAGATGTGGGAGGCGGAGGTCGAAGAGTGGTCCGACGTTTCACGAAGTCGTTCGCACAAGTAGATGACGTTGCTCGGATTATTGTGGTATGGTCTGTCGGTGATTGCCCTCGCCATTCGCAGAGATGACGTGTGTACTGTTGCTGATATTGATGTTGTGTATAGCAAGATCGTGAAGCGTAGTAGCAGACCCGCGCAGCCCACTCGCTGGCCAAGATTTCCCTTCCGTCTCCGCCAACATTGTAATTCTTCATCGTCTAGCGCGCCACCCATTGACATTGAGCAAGAAGCGAGCACACCTCTATTACTTCTTCAGCTGCAACCGCATGGATGATTGCTTTCCGTTCGCGACCACGTTGACCAGCCTTCGCCACTCGCCACTCCTTCCACACCACTTCACAGGGACTGGAACCAAGAGCGACCATGCTATACTGTACAGTTGGAACGCGAAGAACATGTTTCACGTCGCATTGTTGAGCTGCCCATCCATGCAATCGTCCATCTTCGTGCAACCCAAAAACCAGCCATCATAAACCATAATTCATCACTCTCAGTGGGCGGAACCCTTCACAAACACCACCACCTCAAGACTTCAGCATCTTATTCCTCTTCTCCCGCCTCCGCAACCTCTCCACCCTCTTGGCATGCATCTTCTGCGCCATAACCTCATACCTCGCCTTCTCCTCCTTCGCCGCCCTCTTATCCTTGATCGCCTGTATCCTTCTCTGCCTCTCCTCTTCCTTCTCAGCCTTCATCTCCCGCTCCAACTTCTTGACCTCTGCCGTCTGAGCCTCTTTCTCCGCTCGCTTGGCATAGCTCGTTTGACCTGCCGTAGGTCGGAAGGCTTTGCGTGGGGCGTGCCAGTCTTTGCCGTTCTTGCGCACGCCTGTGACTTGTGTGGCTTTTGCGATGGGTGCCGCTGCGGGCGCGGATGCTAGTGCAGTGGCCATTCTGACAGATTTATGTTCTGCTTTCGCTAAACAAGATTTTTATTCTTCTCCTGCAGTGAAATTCGCATCCAGTTTCTCCACTTGGATCTCTCTCTGGCGGCGCTAGCTTTCCGTACCTTAAAAACACATGCAGCCAAGAAGTCCCTCACCTTACAATTTTCTGACCACAATCACTAACTCTGCCCAACGAAATGCCAAGCTAGTCGCTGTCGTACAGACCCTCACTTCCAAGCTCATCGAGTCCCATCCACTGGACTCACATACCATGCTTCCACGATAACATCACGAAGTCGCACCGCATCGTGACAACACATCGCCTGACTGGACTGGCATGTGAAAGAGCACGTGCGGTGACATTAGACCATTCACTCGAGGCAGTTGTGAGGCGGGAACGTCCAGACATTCTTCGTGAGGGACTTGATAGCATCGAACCTCGGTCACGGTCACGGTCACGCTTCATCGCCGATACACAAATACAATGGCAACTACGGCCAAGCCCGGCCGACCTTTCGGCACACCGATCAATCCGACCACCACCAGCACGCCCATAGCAGCCAAGACCCAGGAAGCAAGCAATGCCCTCCGAGACATCACCTCCGGCATCATCGGCGGCATCGTGAGCAAGGTCGTGGAGTACCCCTTCGACACCATCAAAGTCCGACTTCAGTCTATGCCAGATCACCTGCCACTCCAATACGAAGGCCCACTAGACTGTATAAGACAAACTTTCGCGAAAGAAGGATTGCGAGGCTTCTATAGGGGAATCAGTGCACCCTTGGCTGGAGCGGCGGCAGAAAATGCCAGTCTTTTCTGGAGTTACGAGGTCGCCAAGGATTTCATTCGTGGCTCTGGAGTCGTGGCTGCTCAGAGCGACGCTTCTGCGGATGATCTGCCGTTGGGTGCAAAGGTGACAGCGGGCATGGTCTCCGGAGCCGTGACGTCAATCATCTTGACGCCAATCGAACTGGTGAAATGCCGCATGCAAGCCCCGCCAGACATTGCCAAAGCCACGATGCCACCCGCAGAACAAAGCCCACTTAGGATGATCTCGACCATCTACCGCACTACTGGTCTCCTCGGCTTCTGGCGCGGACACCTCGGCACCTTCTTTCGCGAGACCGGCGGCACGGCAGCCTGGTTCGGTGGCAACGAAGCACTACTCCTCTACTTTCGTCACCAGAATGCTGTCCAACAGGGCCGTACTTCAATCGCCGATATTCAGCCTCTCCTATGGCAACAGCTCGTCTCTGGTGCCCTAGCAGGCGTAAGCTATAACTTTTTCCTCTACCCAGCCGACACCATCAAAAGCAAGATACAGGTCGACTCCTCCAACGGTCGTTCATCACAACGTTTCTGGACCGTGGGAAGGGATATTTGGCGTGCACATGGGTTGCGAGGACTGTATAGAGGATGCGGGCTGACCTGTCTGCGGAGCGCGCCTAGTTCGGCGCTGATCTTCACGATCGTGGAGAAATTGAAGCAGGCGTGGCCGAAAGAATCTCAAGCATGATCAATTTAATCGGTACGCGCGAGAATAACGATCTAGACGACTATACGACATTGCTTGTCTTGTATTCGGTGCGATGGAGCAGCTATCACGATCTAGCAGGATCAGGGAGGAATGGGCATTTGGGCATAGCGATGGCGTGAGCATAGCGATGGCGTCCACGAAAAGGATTAAACATGGTACAGCGGTGCGATAGCATACCCATGCACTCCCAAAAGGCTGCTAAAAAAGTAGGGATCCAGACGGGATGAACGATTTGCGATGAAATAGATTCCGCATCGGGAAAAGCGTTGCAACACTTTTACCCACTTTAGCAGACCAAGAGATCTGCAGAAGCAAGGCGCAGGAAAGGCCAAATACTACCCATCATCTATCATAAGCTTCATGCTTCCATTTCATATGTCACATCCCATCGCCACGGTACCCAGTCCCGTATCGTAGGAATTATCGCTAGCACCAGGCTTTCAAACCAAACGCCGTGCCGCAAGACTCGCCACCCAACCCACCACCAATCTACTCCGCCAAAACCTGCCTGAGCATACTCAAAAACCCCTCCCTCATCTTCCGACACTCGACCACAACGGGCTTGACCGGCTCCCCCGCCGTCCGCTTCAATGCATCCGCATTCCGCTTCCTCCGCTTCCGCTCCGCCTCGATCGGATCGGCAAGATTCTCCATCTCATCCTCCTCATCCGAAGACATCTCCCCCACATCATCATCAAACTCATCCCCCATATCCAGATCCTGCAAATCCATCGCATTGAGCCCGAAATCCCCGGGCTTGAACGTCGAGGCGAGGGAACCCGGAGCAGGATCCGCCGCGGCGCCACCACCCGAAGCCATCTTCTGCCTCGTCTTGTCCTGATGCCAGCGTTTCCTTGCCATCTGCCATTTGATCAGGGAATTAATCTCACGGACAGCAAGATTCGGGTCGATGATGCCCATATCCACCGCCCCGATGAAAAGGGCATTCATATCCAGTTTCCCAGCCTGCTGAGGTACCACGGCGGCGGCATCTTCATCAACTCGTTTATGCGGTCCGTGACGGAGGAATTCGAGGATGCCTTCGATCCACGTCATGAGTTTGTCGAAGAGGCCGTTGTCGTGGGTGTGGACCTCGTGGATGAATTTATACAAATTCCCCTCGTGGCGTTCGCAGAGGTCGATGAAGGATTGGACGGTCTGGTTCGGGTCGGCGGAGACGTCCTGGCGTTGTGCTTTCTCGATTGTCGCTATGGCGTCGTCGGCGAAGCGAGCGAAGTCGGTCACGCTGTTGTAGACGTTGGCGGATTTGTAGACTCGGACGAGAGGCTCGTAGAAGATGGTGAAGAGGTCGCGGAAGAGCTTGAGGGTGACGGGTTCCTCGACAAGCGCAAGCATCATCTGCTTGTCTCGTTGTCGGGTATGCAATTTCAAAAGCTGCTTGAGCTGGGCATAGAGCTCAGCACCCTGCCGCATTTCGGCATCGATGTTCTCCACGGCATTATCCCAGGCTACATATGCGTTGAATATCCGTGCCGTCTGTTCATCAGAAAGCTCAGGCTGAATGTCTGGCGACTGTAGGATTTTGATCAGGAGATCCATCTTCTCTTGTATCGCTTCTGCTCGGATACGGCTCTTGAGATTCTGATCTGCATTGGTGTAGTTCTCGATCTTGCGACAAAAGACTTCCTCTTCAATTCGAGGCAGTAGCGAATCGATAGATTTCTGTAGAGTCCTGATGCCGTCTCCCACTGCGTAGCCAAAGATGCGTTGCAACAAGCTCTTCGTCCCCAGCGGTTGTGCCATAAATATATCCAATACCGCCACCATCACCGCAGCAGGATTCGTGAACCGTATGACCTGCTTCAAAGCTCCGTACGGCACCAAACTATGTATCCGCTTCGCCTGCGCAAAAAGCTCTGGTGAGTTGTCTTCCGCCAAGAACAGATGATACAGCGTCGCCGCCACCTCTATCCTCAACCACTCCGCGAACTTCTTGTACTCCGGGTCCAGATCAGCAATCTTGTCCTTCTTCTTGATCTCGCCGAACAAGTCCCGAAGACCATTACGCTCGATGACTTTCCGTCGGAACTTCTCCATATGCACGTCCAGTTCTCTAGCACGCTCGCGAGCGATCTCGAAAAATTGCCGTTGTTCTTGCATACGCTTGTCGTCCATTGTCTTTCGGCGATCGACATCGCCTACTTCTTCCGCGGTGAGTGTGGTGGGGTTGGCCGTGAGGAATTCATTCATCGCTGCTGAATTCGCAATGGCTTCGTTCTGTAAGAAGCCACGCAAGAATGCTCGGAGTGAGACTCTTTGTTCCTCGCGAGGAAGGACGTGCGCTGGTTCTTGAGCTGATGGCCGTCGTACGGGAGATGCACCTTTCGCCGGAGAGTCTATAGACGGTCGAGGTGATGAAGAGGATACTAGAGAGGTTCGCGATTGACTTCGAGAATGTCTGCTTGCTGAGCTGCCTGTCCAGGAAGCCAAGTACCCTCTGAATCCGCCTCCGCTACTTGCCTCACTAGCTGGTGCCTCGCCGGCTGATGGACTGACATCGTGAATGGACATGGACTCGATGCTTTCATCGTCGTCATCGTCATCCTTCCCACTGTACAGCGAATGTGTCCTGTTCTTCCTTGGTAGCGGTGGTAATACCTTTCCAGGTAATTCTTGCCTCAACTTCTTGTGCATCTTGGCAAAGTCCCCGAAACGCCGTGCAACATATGTCTCCCGCTCCTCTCTTCTCTTCACCCTCAGCAAGAACTCAGCATGCGCATGATGTCTGACATGTCTTTTGACCTGTACAATCCTCACACCAGCCACATTGACATCCCATCCATTAATCTCATGCCCTTCCGGTCTGTTCACCACCAGACCCTGCTCGTTCGCACCACGATCCACGACCTCCAGCTCACTAAACCGGATGCGCTCTTCGTAGCCCGAGGCGGTGGGTATGCCACTGACCATCATCAACTCGACCAGTTTTGTGGCCTTCATCGCCAGCTTCGCCCGCTTCGTCTCTTCTAGTCGATCCTCTGAGGACGAGATATGCTTGTTGGCGAAGGACTCGAGAAAGACCTGTAGTTTCTTCTGCCAGAACTCCTCCTCATTTGCCTGATCGAGGAAAGGAAAGTTCCGCATGTGGTGGACGAAGATGTATCGTAGTAAAGGCAGCTCCGAGTCTTCAGGCGCGACCTCACCGGCATCAGAGCGGAATGGAGCTCCGAATCGCTGAAGTGCGGTAGGAGAGGAGAGTTCGTGAACCTCCCACGCCGTCTGCTGCGCGATGAGTTCGCGCTTGAGATAGTGCTCTTGCTTGCCTGTCAGGACCGAGCCTGGAGGCGGCACGGATGCTATCGAGGACATGGTTGAGGGCGCTGAGCGGTGAAGGGATTGGCGGTGTTGCTTTATCTCTTGCGCTCGCTGGTCCTGGGGCGACTCTGGCGCATCGACGAAAAGTTGACTCTCGATGGTATCTGCTCTTTTCATGCTACTACGTGGTGTGAGTTGGACCATGTACCCATTCGTCTTGGAGTTGCCGCGCGACCTGCCATTCGCATTGGCATTGGAGGGAGATGTTGAAGTGGCCATTGCTGGTATGTCGATGCCTGGGAAGGAATGAATGACTTTGCGGCGGTGCCTTCTCGTATTAACAGGTGTCTGCTTAGGTAGGTTTATATCATGGTCGGACTTCAGCGAGAGTAGGATGGTAGGAGGCAGAGTGATATTCGTAGGTGTTCAGCACGGCTAAGGACTTGGATGCTTGGAAGGAGGGAAGAATACGCGTAAGGTACTTCTACTCCACAGCGCGCCGACCTGCATGTGATGAATGACGTTGCTCAACGAGGCTGGAGAAACCTTTAACAAGTAACGACATGAGTCTAGGAAGACACCTAGTTACTATTGGATCAAATGCTGTCCCTCCTCCATCGTGCTCCTACCAATACCTGCCTTCGTCAATAACAACCTCCATATCCGACGATGGAGGGGCAAGAAGAGAGCGAGTGAGCGGCATGTCAGCAGATCCTCGCGATGATCAGCAAAGCTTGTCTTGTGGAATCAAACGTCGTCATCAGCCCTGCCAAGAACTGGTCGAAGATTAAATTGATTGTTGTTCTAGCATCATCATCGGAAAGCCTACTAAAAGAAAGGATCATCTCCGTCAGACCAAGTAGAAAGATCAATAACAAGCAACCACCAGAATGGTCAAGTGCGATAGCTGCGGCAGTGAAGCCGACAAGGCCAAAGATTCCAACATGGCCCACTGCGCCACCTGCAATAATGTGAGATATTCCATGAGACAATAGTTATTGTCGTCAAGCCGAGCTGAGCTGAGCTATCTACCAGATCATCGAGATCAAGGAACAGCCTAAAGAAGAATCAAAGCCAGCCGAGACGAAACAAGACGTCAATAAGGAAGAAGTCAAGAAATCGTGAATGGAAGACGTGTACAACGACTACCCTAACACAACGATGATGAACCTGCTTGCGATTGGAGATACTCCCCTTGTAATAATGCCGGGAGCAACTGCGGTCACGGTCTCCCAAGTCAAACGACAATATGAACATGTTGATGGAAGATATACTAGCCACTTACCGCTTGATTTACTTAAGAAAAATGCTACCGAGATAGTCATACATATCATCCAAGATTGTCATCTATGCACTAGAATCCCATCACCAACCTTGCGTCCCCGTCGGCGAAGGTGGTACCCCAGAGACCCGTCCACTCACAACCGTAAAAGCAGGTCGCGTCTCAACCACCCCAAAACTCTGCACAGAGGTCCCCTGAGCAGCCCAAGTCGCAATACCGTAAGCACTTGCCGCAGGCGTGAAAGGTGCCGAGATCGTCCAGGACTGCGTAGGCTCGCGATGGGAGCCTTGCTGTCCGTGATCCTGAGAGAGTCACTCGCTCGCAGAAGCTTCGCGGCGCCATGTACCAGATCCGCCTGCAGATCCGCCGACAGATGAAGTAGCTGCCGGAGAGACTGCTGAGGCTGCTGCAGGTACTGCGGTGGCTGTAGAGGATGGGCAAGGTGTGCTGCTGGATCCAGACCCAGCAGAACCAGCATCGGAGCCGGAGCCGGAGCCCGCGGCACTACCACTGCCAGCCGCCGAGCCACCTGCTGCAGCGCCGCCGGATTGATCTCCCCCGAGTCCTCCTAAGCCGCTCAAACCACTGCCTGAAGACCCACCTCCGAGTCCTCCTAGGCCGCTCAGACCACTACCTGACAAGCCTCCGAGTCCAGCTCCGGCATCGCCACCGCTCGAGCTGCCGCCGAGACCTCCTAGTCCGCTCAGTCCACCTCCTGACGAACCTCCGAGACCAAATCCCGAGTCGCCTCCGCTTGAGCTACCACCGAGGCCTCCCAGTTCACCACCTGACAGCCCGCCGAGACCAGATCCTGAATCGCCACCGCTTGAACTACCACCAAGGCCTCCTAGTCCAGAACCCGATAACCCACCCAGACCAGCGCCTGAGCCGCTACCAGTGAGACCTCCAAGCCCCGCGCCTGCATCGCCGCCTGAGAGTCCGCCACCAAGCCCTCCCAGGCCATCTCCGGACAGTCCGCCCAGACCAGCGCCTGACGAGCCGCTAGAATCTCCGCCTGAACCTCCAAGGCCGCCTAAACCGCCCCCTGACAGGCCGCCAAGTCCGGCACCAGACGAGCCACCGCCGAGCCCGCCTAGACCTCCACCCGATAGACCCCCCGATCCACCGCTGGAACTACCACCAGATTCGCCGCCACCAAGGCCACCAAGACCTCCACCTAGGCCGCCGAGTCCAGCGCCAGACGAAGAATCATTGCCAGCGCCGCCTCCGAGTCCACCAAGACCGCCTGCACCTGACAAGCTGCCTCCCGCTGCACCGCCTAGGCCTCCCAGACCTCCACTCGGAATGCCGGTCGGGAGAGCTCCTAATGCGCCACCGACTGAGCCAGTCGGAATTGGGATAATGCCACCTGCACCTGCGCCTGTAGCACCTGCTTGACCTGCACAGTTGTTAGTGCGTGCAACCAGACCAAACATGATTTGCTTCAAGCCTTTGCGATCACGACTAGTTTGCGCATCCATATCGGTCGTCGACGTATCGACGAGCATTTGCGCAAACTGGCTCGCTCTCTTAGAGTCGCAATAGCGGTGACATACCTGATCCTGATCCAGATTCTCCACCAGCCGCAGCACCGCTACCGCTACTGCCCCAGCTGCCGCTCCCGGAGCCTGAAGATCCGCTCGAGCCTGCTTCAGAGCCTGGTGAAGTACGCTTTTCCTGGTTAAGCGGTGCAGCGAGGGCCGTCACGCCGAGGCCAAGGATGGTGAGGTGGGTGAGAAAGTGCATGTTGATGGTCCTGGAAAGACGATGTTCGATGAACGAAATGTATGAAGATGAAACGAATGCAGAAGAGGAGTTCGGTCAACGAACGTGTTCTGGTGGATGGGATGACAGGAGTGGTGAACAGGATGATGGATGAACAGAATTGTGTGGAAGATGATGGGGTTAGATATACCTTCTCGTCTTGCATGCCCGTTATTGCCAAGTCGTCGCATCGTGAACTGAAAGTAGTTTGCGCAGAATATGCTTCACCTCGGCTCGAATGCATCTTCGACCATGTTCGTGGTCGAAACGATCCTCACACAGCCGAATACCGTGAACGCGGATTTAAAGTTCGATGTGGTTGTTTGAGGGGCTTTGTTTGGAGTCGAAACGCCACTACCCCATGACCATGACACATGGGTATGCCAAGAAGACATGCAAGTCCACCCGAATACTGACAGTGGAGATGGAGAGGCATGTTACACGATCTTCTTGGCTTTGTGTCGCCCGTTTGGCATGACGGATTTAGATAGCCCAGAGATGTTCGAGCCGCTTGATGCAAAATAGTTTGTGGCAGTCTCGAACAGTCATGACGGATGGTAGATACGCCACATTTCGTGGTCGCCCTTCCGGTTGTCTGGTCGACACTGAGCATTGTGATCTTGCAGTGTGTACTCCAGGCCCTGATCTGACAAGCGATGTGATGGAGACTCGAAGTCGTGTTCACATCACAGACCTCTTCCCAAGTATGATTGAGACTCTGCATCTCAGCATCGGCTTCGCCGTATATGATACCGAGGACATATGCTCCGCTGATCAGCCTGTACTGCTTCGTCCGGACTGTCCTCGCCGAGAACAGCTCGCTTGACCATATCTGTCGTGTCACCATCGGCTACCATCCAGATCTTATGCCTCGGCGCAATCATGGACTGGAGCCATACTTCTCTATCATGCAGAGTGAATCGAGGGCCACACGGATTCCAGTCCGAGCTTGATCGGAAAGGCATTCGTTCGTTAGGGATCGCGAACGCTGTTTTCACGAACATGTCATGCGTCATTGTGTACAACCATGAGCGATCTGCTTTTCAGCAGCCATGATCGTCGAGGGAGGCGCGAAAGTCCTAGTGTCTAGGGCAGGTAGTGTACTCATACCGATGGGATGACCGTTGTGACCGTCCATTCTACCGGGCCAGTCCACTCCACGACTGTCTGTGTGATACTATTAAGCAAGAGTCCAGCCAAGGAACGTGAGCGAAGCTCGTTGTCTGTCTCGGTGTCAAGGTCAAACAACGCACTTGAACTGCACGTCGTGATCCTCCACGTTTCATCAATACGGATCTCGATAGGAACGAGTTAATGATGGTGATGGAACAACGCCGGACAAAAAGGCCCTTCTTTCCGTCGATCATACCAACCGGGGTGGTCGAAGACTTCTCATGAATGGGTGATAGTGGTGTGGGAATAGATGATCAGCCAAGGCATGGATCCAGTGATTGTGGAGCCCATACCGGTCCAAGAAGATGGGTCGAACAGCGTCGTTTCCACTCCATCGTCGTCGACGTGGAGTGGTCTCACGGCGTGACGTCCAATGCTGAGGGTGCAGAGCTGACTTACACAAGTCGTGGATATCTCACACGGGCGCGAGTACCATGAGCAGACTTGTCGCCCATCACTTCGTGTAAGGTTATGTGCACGATCGAGAAGGAAATAAAGAGGAGTCTTTCGCCAAAGGTCAGACAGTAACGCTGAGTCAGGGTTCGAGCTCGTAGGGCTGGAACATGAGGCGCAGGAATGGAGAAAGTACGTACATACCGTGACCAAGCAATACACTGTATACCCTACATAATGCCGTCTCTTCGGTAGCCTTGTTACTCTCTCGCTTCCAAGATCATGTCACACGCCGGCTTTCGCAACGACGATGCCGAGCACAATCATTCTAGTGACGACAGCGAGAAGGATGATCTTCCTAGGACCTCAGAAGAAGTCAGGAGGCACGACGCAGAGACTTTGACGGCGGAAGAGGACGCAGAGCGGCTGCTGGTTGGAGGCAGCAATGCGCAACCATCTCAAAGTGGCTGGAAGTTACGAAAGGAGCAGAAATCCAGACGATCCAAACGTAGACGAGATGGCCAGGAACCGGAGAAGAGAAAGCTAATATACGACACAGAAGAGGGTGGCCTGCGAGAGAGTAGCGTTGAGAGTAGCAGTGACTATGAAGAGAAGGACGCTCTACAACAGACAAAGTCGGTCAAACGAAGCAGCAAACGGAGGACAATATGTGGTTTCGCAGTCGTGCATGTCGTGATTGTGCTGGCCTTCCTGGCACTGCTATATGGAGCTTGGAGGGCGTCTCATACTCAAAGACATCCAGAGACGAATGCGGCAGATTCTACAATACCTGCCGAGGACGAGGAGAAGGAACAAGAGCTCCCCATTGGCACAACTTACAAGCCACAGGCCATGTTCAATGGCACACACACATTCGACCCGACGACGATATTGATATCCCTCGACGGCTTTCGAGCAGACTTCTTGCAGCGGCACATCTCTCCTACATTGACTGCCTTCGTACAGATCGGTGTAAGCCCGAGATATATGCTACCTTCCTTCCCATCCCTAACATTTCCAAACCACTTTACCTTGGTAACAGGTCTACATCCCGAAAGCCATGGAGTCGTAGGCAACACCTTTTGGGATCCCGAGACTGAGAGAGAATTCTACTACACGGATCCTGAGCGAAGTATGCAGCCTGAGTGGTGGCAAGCAGAGCCGCTGTGGGTGACTGCGGAGAATGCTGGACGCAAGACTGCAGTGCATATGTGGCCAGGCAGCGAGGTCAAAGGCGGTGCCGATGCAGTTGGAGCGGCGTATGTGGACCACTACAATGGTAACGAGCATCTCGATAACAAAGTGAGTCGCATTCTGGGCTGGCTCGACCTTCCTGCAGCGTCTGAAAGACTGCCGAATGGGAACACTCGACCTCAGCTCATCGCAGCATATGTGCCAAATGTGGATGTTGATGGCCACAAGTATGGACCTAACAGCACATACATCCGTTCTACCATAATGGAAGTCGATGGCATGCTCAACTCACTGTTCGAGGGTCTGGAGAAGCGCAATCTGACTAACATTGTCAACATTGTGATCGTGTCTGATCACGGCATGTCTACGACCTCGGTCAAACGGCTCATCCAAATCGAGGATCTGGTCGATACCAGTCTGATCGAGCACACCGATGGTTGGCCATTATATGGTCTTCGGCCATACGACCATTCGCCGAGCAAGCTTCAGGAGATCTACCAAGGTCTGATAGCCAAGTCGAAGCTGCCCAAATATGAGCACACCTTTGATGTATACTTGCGAGACGAAGATATGCCAGCTCGGTATCACTTCGCCAGCAGCACACGTATTGCACCCCTGTGGATTGTACCAAAAGCTGGATGGGCCATCGTCACCAAAGAGGAGTTCGATATCGCAGGAGGTGCGCAAGAAGTGTACCATCCACGCGGTCTGCATGGCTATGACAACCAGCATCCTCTCATGCGCGCCATCTTCGTCGCCAAGGGACCGGCGTTCCCACATCTGCCAGGCAGCGAAGTTGAGCCGTTCCAAAACACGGAAGTGTACAACATCGTGTGCGATAGCTTAGGCATCGAGCCAGTGCCAAACAACGGCACGTTGAGACTGCCACTCAAAACAAGTGGCGTGCACGATCCAGATCGGCTGATAGAAACGCCGGAAGACTTGCAAGACGATCCTAGCCTCGCTCTTCCTCCAGAAGTGGCCAACTTGGCATATGGTCATGGTGGTGTCCGACCGTCGAGCGAGCCTCCCGTTGTGCCAAACCTCGCGAACCGTCCTGACTTTATGGTACCTACTGCCGGCATCCCGCCTGTAGAAACTGCTATTTCGGAGCCAGAAAAAGAGGCTCCCCAACCAGTCAAACCAACAGAGACATCTGAGCCAGCCCGTCCAGTTGTTCATGATGGTCTTGACGACGATGAGAAAAGCGGTTCCATTAACAGATGGTGGGAATGGGTCAACGGCAAGATTGATGCAATCAAGGGATGGGCATCCAATATGCTTGGGAAAGGTGACACCAAAGACGATGGTGGAGGAGATGGCGAATCCTAGATCAAAGTCATTTTGTAGTCTCTCACCTGTTGTCTCGTGGCGTCCGGTCTGGTTTCGGCGGCGTTCGGTCTGTTTTGGAGATACCCGCAGAGTGTACATTGTTTCAGATACAGCCACGAGACATTAGGTTTCTTTCCATTTTGCCCAGTCCGAATCACCCCTCCAAACCTGGTGGCCCTCGTCGGCAATTTTTCCATAATTTCATATGCAAAGCCGATCACGATCGCCCGTCCACCCACGCAGATGTGTTGCGCAAAAGGTCAGCATATGTATATACTGTCGTCACAACCTCTAAGGCGCTACAATAAGCAGCTAATTCGAATGCGAGTGAGATCTGCAGCGTATGATGCACCTAAGCCATGCAGACATTCCTGACCCCACGCGAATGCCACGCCTTGAGTTGTTGGAAGTTCGGTTCAATGCAGGGCCGGATGTTGCTGCAGCTTGCCTGAGCCGCGCAGAGGAGCACACTGCTGGAGATGGTCCATCGTCCATCGTTCGTGAGTCGTGTCAAGCTATCACGCCATTGCTCTGTGAAGGTTGCCAGGGATATGCTTTGACTTCTGCTTGCAAGGCAAAGCGTCCGACAAAGTTTTGCAGCATTTCTGTCTCGTTGATGCCCGATTTACGAGATCTCGTAGAAAGGAAGGTTCGCATTTGCGCGAAGCAGGACAATACGCTTGAAAAGTCTAGAAGGGCTTATGTCTATGCACAATGCACCGTGCACTTCGTACCCAGAGACTCGCTGTACGTGCAGCCGTGCTTGCGGTCGGAAGCGGGCCTGTACCTGCAACTCAAATTATGCCTCCAGATTAAAATAATGTATGTGGTCTCGCGGGCGCAGGAAAGCAAAAGCCTGAAGCCAGTGGTAGTGTCGCAATGTCGATCAAAGCATGGCACACGATTAGCCAGCACGCTGCAACAACGAGGCTCGTTCGAGCTTGTCAGCGTGCGACAGCTTGCGTGGATCATCTCATGCTGACCATGAGGCAGGTCGTGGAAAGACAATGTCAGCTTGATTCTGCTTTTGCGTGGTCGTGAATGGTGGTGTAATACTTGGGTCCGGCGGGTGCATCCGAGATCGTCACCCGCAACCGACTTTCAGCAATACAGGTCTGGGTCGCACAGCAAAAGCTGGATGCCACCGAGAAAGGTCCTCGCTTCTTGAGGCTGTTCATCGGTGGCAGGCAATCCATCTCGTACCAGTCTACTACTGTCTGTGTATGTTGCTGATCTGCACCTTATCAACTCCTCCAAAGATCGATTGACTAGGATTCGCGCTAGACTCTTGCGCATATCCTTGGCGCAACAAGCACGTGGATCGGCAAAAGCTACTAGCCTACGTTTTTACCGTACTGAGGGCGGGCGCTGGTGCTGACCATTGACGCAACTCGTCGCCGTCGGTGAGATCTCCCAGTCAATCACGGAGCTCCCACACATCATTGCCTATCTCCATATTGTCTGGGTGCCCCAACGGACCGCAGAAAGTCGCACTCTTGAGCTGGGTTGCGTGTGGCCGGTCGGTAGTGAGACACCAGCGGACAGCTCCACGTTGCACAGATCGGTGTTCATGCAAGGCACAAAGAAGAGAGCGAGAAACTGCGCCTGACACGAGCCTCTCATATGATCCGACAACCTCACAACATCTTACACGGCTTTTGACTGGACCTCTCGCCCTCTTATCACCAACCTTCATATTCTGCGCGCCGTGGGCCAGCGACGTTCTTGTGCGCTGCCACACACGACTCGGCGTCCACAGAGCGCGCCGCCGCCACCGTCGTCTCCAGCTACCATCTCGATCCTGCGCCTATAGTATTCGGTACGCGGACACGTGCAACCCTACCGCCATCAACCCTCAGCGCCAGTATAGGTGAGTCTCCATGCCTAACACTTTGCATGTTCCACGACGACTAGCTGACTTGGCGCGATCTAGTCCTGTCAGATTTGTCTACAAACAGCAAGCCATTGTCGGGGTCGAGGGACCACCTGCAAGCCATTCTCGATTCGTCGCTCTCTGACCAGCATTTGGCGCAAGTTCTTCGCAACTGCCTCTTCCACACAGCGACAGTGGTGGCGAGTTGTTTGACTACCGCCTTCGCACTCGTGCCCTTTCCAAGAGACCGTCTATTCTCCGTACGTGCAACGGACCCCGCATCATCGCACCACGTCCGTACCATCCTTGAGACTTTGAACCACCACGCCCTTGCTAACTTTCGCAGCCATTGTTAGGACCATAGCGCAAGCATAAACGGCAGTGGGATTGAGTTTCAACGTCTCGACGGCGATCAGCACTTCCGGCCTGGCCTGCTGTCTATCTAACAATAGGCCAATCTGATATTACCTCACTTCAGCTTGACTGTTGCGACAGCTCGGCTTGCGACACCACTGTCCTCAACCACAAGCAGGTCGCCTTCACAATCGTGACCGGCTTGAAGCAGCGACAGGATTCTGGAGCCTGTCTAAAACTACGCCACGCGACATTCGAACTTACCGCATAATCATACTAGTCACAACTATACGGCGACATGACGTCCTCTACTACCGCGCACCCTCCTGCGCAAGGACTACCACCCATCAGCAGCTTGACCAATGGTATACCTAAAGCCGCCACGCGACTTTCTCCAGATCGTAATTCACTTGCAGAGTCTACACGAGACTCTGGTACGTGGCCTCAACCACAGAGTAAGCGTAAGTCCTCTACTTCCTCAAAGCTTTGTCAAGGGCTCGATGTTCCACACAAGTCACTTGTCGCGCAGCAGCAGTGCGATCTTGACGATGCAGTACCATACTAACTATTGCCTCCAGACAGCTCTGTGAATGGCCAAGGCCTCCAGGTCCATACCCTTCTGAACCCAGACTCACCGCCACGCCACTCCATACCAAGCACACCTTTGTCTGCTCGCATGCCCATATCCGCGCATTCAACCGGCTCACAGCTCCCCTCCATCAATCAAGGCTTCCACCATGACCCTAATCGAGACTCTCGCGACTATGCTACGACCCTTGACTCCCGTCGCAGCAGTGTGGATAGCCGCATGTATGCGGGTTTCAGCAACATGTCTGTCAACCACAACAACAACCCTACCTCGCCGTACGAGAGCGCACATGGATCACAGGTATCGTTGGCTGCTAGCTTACGCAAACCGAATGGGGTACCAATGTCACCGCTAAGCACACGGGGATCAGTTCGCACTGCACCACGTATAGCTCCCGTGATTCAGCCTATGGGTAGAGTCTCAGGCGCACCGGATCCCTTGGCTTCGCGACCAACCCAAGGCTATGCCTGGGCTTTCCCTGATCATCCTATCCCAGAGGAGCAGCGTGGCTCAGAGGATAGCGATGAATCCAGTATACATACGTACTCGCGGACTAACAGCATCGCCGGCAACTCAATACGAAGCAGCATCTTCTCAAATGACTCGCAAATGCCGGTCGGCCAGCGAAGATTTGACGATGAGCGGACCACGCACCACCATAGTATGCAACATCCAGCCATATCGAGCCTGCAGAACGATAAGTTGGCACAGCAGAACATCGGAAACTACAGCAGGACACCTGAGTTACGAGTCAGCCACAAGCTTGCAGAGAGGAAGCGGAGAAGTGAGATGAAGGATCTTTTCGAGGATTTGAACAAGGCGGTACCAGCTGGCGGAGGCACGAAAGCGAGCAAATGGGAGATACTTACGAAAGGTGAGCTATGCGCATATGCTACTACAACCTTGAGCTGATCTCGATTTATAGCAATCGAATATATTCGCAGCACACAACAGCACGAACGGAACATGAACGCGGAGCTCTCCCGACTGCAGCGGGAAAGTGACTATGGCCGCGAGGCGCAGAAGGAGAACGATATGTTGAAGACGGAGGTCCAGGTCATGCACCAACACTTGAGGCGACTGGATTCAAATGCACCGCACGTCTACGGCCACTTCACATCTCAGCTCAACCAAGGAGCGCCAGCGCAGACAAATGGTGCATCTGGGATCTCACTGCCGCCCCTCAACCCGCCACAACAGCCTGCAGCTGCTATGCAAGGTGTGGAATATGGAGGTTATGGTTCGCGGTAGAGGTACAAGCCGACATTGCAATCAGATACACCCACTTTTCGAAAAGAACCATCGCATCAATTTGAGGCACATCATAGTGCGGAGGCCCTCCCACTGCTGACTATGCAGTCGCGGTAGACGTCGACATACCGCTCGACCTGTCAGTTACGCTACGACGGTGGACTACGACGTTCGCCCGAGCAATGGTGGGCACCACCCTGAACGGACGACGCTACGCGGACGAGAACCCATTCGACTATCGCGAAGAGAGCACACTAAGGACTACAAAGGCTATCTTTAGTGACTACGACGATATTTCTGCAGTGTGGTACACATTTGGCATTTCCTGTTCATTCTTTTCCTCCGGCGTTATTGGGCTGTGAAAAATATGATATCAATGGGTTGGGAAAATTGTAGTTTTATCGTTTAGGGCAGAGGCTTATCACGATGCCCTCTATCGCTTTCTTCTCTATGTAGCGCGTATGATTGATACGGTATAATCACGATCGTGTCAAACCGCTCATCGCTCCAGATGAGATACGAGCAAGTGCCTGAAGACCTAGTATCCTGCTGTGATGTCACTACCTCTCCTTCTTCGCCTCCCCATTCATCCCCACCTTCGCATTCATCCCGTGCTTCTCCCCCTCCAACCTCCTCCCCCTCCTCTCCCTAGGCAACCTCCAGCTAGTCTCCCACCCATACAACGCCCCACTCCCAAACACCATCGCACTCCCCACCGCCATCTTCCCACTCAACGCATGGCCGAAGAAAATCGTGCTGAAGATGAAGGAGACGAGTTTCCGGATATTGAGGACGATGGTCACGGTGACTGCGGACGATTTGGCCGAGAGGAGGTTCACGCCTGATATACAGGCGAGTTGGGTGAGGGTGTTGAGGAGGAGGTAGAGGAGGCCTGAGGGTAGACTTTCTAGTGTGCTTAGTACGATGTCCTGGTTTGCGGCGGATATGAATGGGACGCTAGATATCAGGCTGTCTTTCGATGCGAGCTGGCCTTTGAGATCAAGGTGTGGTGTCGCAGCAAGTTTAGCATATTGTCTCCTCAGCGGTCCACCAAGGGGCAGGAAAAGCGGCAGACTCATGAAGTGCGTCCAGAAGAGATTCTCGGTCCAGTCGGCTTGGTATTCGGCGTATGTATCTTCGACATAGGCGCCCATCCAAGCAGAAAGTAATTGCGCCAGCAGCAAGATCGCCAGACCCACGCTGAAGTCCGAAGTCGACGATTCCGTCTCTACAGCCATAGATTTGCCCTAGACCAAAATCAGCCTCCCATGCAGTGGCGAATACGAGTGCTGTGTGAGTAGATCATGAACCATACCTTCCCCTCCGAATCCGCCCAAGCGCTCACCAATACACCGACGGTCAGGAGCGCCACACTAAGCACCTGTAGGAGACTATACCGCTTCCCCCTCAACCACCCCATCATCATCGTCGTCACGCTGCCGAAACTCCGGAGGATGATATGCACGGGGACACTGATACTGAAGGCGAAAGCCCAGTTATTCAGCATATTGATGCCGAAGAACATACTAGCGATGAAGGCCCATCTTCGTAAGGGAACTTTAGGTTTTCTGACGGTGTAGGGTTCTCCGGGCGAGAACTGGCTTGGGTAGGCTGCTAGGGTTGTTAGGAGGAATTGGGAGAAGGTTATTAAGAGGCCGCTGGAGGGTTCTCTTCTGTCGTAGCTGTTAGTGTTCTCGGTCCGCTATTGTGGGTGTAATACGGGCTAAGTACTTGATGATTGCTTCGAGAGCAAACACATTGGAACAGCAGCCGCCGAAGATCAATGCTGTGGTCGTTACGGGGCCAATGGCTAGAGCTGCCATTTCGGCGATCGATAGCAGAAAGTAGAACGCTAAGAGACGCGCTGTTATCGTCCCTTGGTGTTCATGTTGACAGGTAATAGTAAGGAAGGGGTCTTCGAGACGTTTGTCGAATTGTACATATGCACGCCCTCGTCTCGAGGCCCCGGCAATGGCTCCTCCCTCCACAGGTACCCGGAGGTATATATAGGCAGCTTATATCCAGATTACTATACACACCCGCTCTCCTTCTACTTCTGCTCGCATACAAGACTACATAAGTACAACTCGGTCGAATCCTCGTCCACAGAGTCCCAAGCACTTCTGGTCCAATCAACGCAAGACAGCCTACCCAGCCAACCTGGCGCTTCTCACAACAACCATGACCGTCCTCTCCAAAACCCTCGCCATAACCGGCTGGTCTGCTTTAGGTGGAACAGCAGGCTACTACGCCCTAACCCGGCACAACCGCATCGTCCCAGTCCCGCCAACGGACTATATCTTCAACCACACCCTCTACGCCCGCTATAACCCGAATAACGCTCCGGTAACCCAAGACCTCTGCGTCCGCCAAGTCCCCATAACCAAGATAAACCCCGAATTACTCGAAGGCAAGGAAGACGGCAAACTAGTCACGGCATTCTGTCAAGGGATCTGGGGAGGCTTGGGCTTCGCATACCAGCGCCGCTTCCTAGAGAAGAAGTATCGTGGCCCGGAAACCGCCTCGATGCTCTGGGATCGCCCCGCCTTGAAAGAATCACAATACCCGATCGGAACGCAAATAACAGACCATTTCGAAGTCGTGTCCCGCAACCCAACATCCATAATAGTCCGCTGCGGGGACTCTCCTCGCAAAATGGAAGTCCGGGAAAGCGACGGGTTGTTCGAGATGACGGCTGAAGTGAAGGAGAAGGAAGGGGTGGTGGAGTTTGGATTGAAGAGTGTGTTTTACAATGGGACGGCGCCTGAGGCGGAAGAGGGGCAGATGGGACCGATGAGTCCGTGGATTCAATGGGCGCATGCGCAGTATGATAAGATTCTTATGGAGACGAGTTTGAGGGGACATGTGTTGAAGGTGAGATGAGATGAAGGGCATGGATCAGCTGATTGGGGACAACGCTGGCATTGAGAGCGCGCAGCGGACTAGAGAAGAGGGACGGGGGAGCGAGGGAAGCCCGAATGCTGAAAGGCCCACTACACTGCAGCCTCTCGCGAGAAAGGGTGAATGGCGCTGGGTGTGGTGTGGGAGCCTCCATGGCCATGCTAGCTATGGGATGCACGGACTGAACGGAGCGCATAATATGCTCTGCTGAATCGGCTGCCACGAACGGAACCTCTTGGGCAGGTATGGCAAGCAGACGCAGGCAAAGAGGCGGCCGGCAAGAGAGTTCAACAATCCTTTCACGCCACGGAAACTGTCACGTGGGGTCCAGCGGGATCTGAGTCCCGACATTAGATCTCGATGTAGATACTGCACATATACAAGCTATGACATGAGCATGAGTATACATCACCCACACGCCACCCAGGAAACCCTTCTCCAGCGCAAGAGCCCTCAGTCAATCAAGAAATCGAGCATCCTCATCCCACTCCTCCTCCTTCTCACCAAATCCACCAAACACCCTCTCCTCCTCACCCGGATCCCCCGTCCTCCTCAAAACCTCCACACACGCCTCCCTCAATCTCCGCCTCACACCACTCTCCATGCGATTCCAGACCGCGTCCGCGAAGTCGGCGAAACCCGTGGTCCAGTTTTGCATTTGGGTGATGCTTGATACCGATGAAGAAGACGAGGTAGTAGTTGAGGGGTTAGTGTTAGTGGCGGAAGATGTTAGGGGCAGTGCTGATGTGGACTGGTCAGTGCTGTCGCCTGCTGTGGCGGCAGAGGAGGCGAAGGTGGATTGAGTCGGGCTTTTGGCGACGATGGCGTCGTAATCGCTGATGATGATCGGGAGGCCGACGAAATCGCTACTAAAGGCTGCCATGATCGCTCTGCCCTATGTCCGTCTGTGCCGTCTGTACAGTCGTCTCGTCTCGTCCTTCGTCAGTCACATCACGCATGCATGCACATATGCCTTCTTCACGCGATATCAGCAGTACGCTTAGGAAATGGGTGTGTGGTCAGTACTGCCGTTTCCGGCCATATTTCCTTATCATCTCGCCACTCTGGAGTCAGAAGGGGCGATGGTGCTGAAGTGAGCTGTCTTTGTGCGCAGGACGGTCTTTGTCTCTATGCTGTCAGCCAGGCCTGTTCTTGTACTTTGAGCGGCCGGGTATGCAGAACGTGGAGCGAGGAATGCGGGAATCTGCCATGCTAAGATCTGTCGTTCCTTCTCCAGTTCAAAGTTGCACTTTGAGGCAATGTACACTAGACTGTCTGTGGTCAAAGGACGCGTCAGTAGTTTTACACGGCGGTATATACACATAATCAGTCGGCACCTCGCCCCACCCAGCAGCCGCGAGTAGTCTAGGGCGCACTGGGTTAGCCTTCGACTCCAGAACAGCCTCAACATATCGTAGCCTCTCTCGTCGCACCCCTCCGCTCCCTTGTACACCGTCTGCGCACGTCTATCGCTTGTTCTTGGCCTCCATATCCTTGACATACAGCTCGAGGTCGAATTTCGGGTCTTCCGGGTTCGATATCACTGCGCGCGCTCAGTCAGCTCTCCGCCTGTCATCTCTGTACCCACTTTCTTCCTCAAGCCACAGAACCGAACATCCTCTCTCAATCCTCCTTAACCCCGATTCCATCCGCTCTACCTCCTCCCATCTGAGCATAGAATTCCGAAGAGAATGACTAGACTCACCTCCACCCTTCGGCTGCGGCTGCGTCTTCCGCTGATACTCGGCTTTCGCCTGATCTATCAGTTTCGCCTTGCTATCCCATTCGTGCTGTGCGTGGGCGGTCTTGTCGCGCGATGTGATGGCGGTTTGGTGGGAGAAGCCGTAGAAGACGCCGGTGACCATTGCGCCCCAGCGGAGCATCTATACATTAATCCATGTTAGTATATATGGTTGAATGTAATGCCTCATTGGGCGTGTTGGTGGTGGGATGGGATTGCTCGGAGGAGATCGGGAGGGATGGTTGGATGGTCTGGGTTTGGGTAGGCGTACGTTGACTCCTGTGGAGGCCATTGTGGGTTGTGGTGGTGGCGAGGGTGTGGCGGAAGGCGAGGCAATGGTCGGTGTGTCGTTCTAGGCGCGATAGACAGTTGAGTAGGCAGCGCAATGGCAATTGATTAATCAATATGGACGTGGTTGGGGGAGCTTCATCTCACTTTCATCTCTCGCAAATCTCCGACTCGGGAGAGCTCGAGAGTTAGGGTTCGGGAGGGGGCGGCCGAGAGGAGTTTGTAGGGATTAAGCTTTGATGCGACACGTGAAGGAGACGCGTTTATATTGCTGCTCGTACCTTCCTTTTGCGTATTAATACAACAGCCATCATGTCATCGCTACAGAGTCGCAAAGATGAGATCGCGGCCAAGAAGGCGAAATTGGTGGAGCTGAAGCGGCAACGAGAGCTGCGGGCCAGGGACTTGAACACCAACCGACAAAGTATTGGAGGAGGAGATGCTTCAGAGGTAGACTATATTCGGAAGGGTGATTATGATAATGATACGAGACTGACTGACAGCATAGCTAGCCCAAGCATCACCTCTTCGAAGTCGAACGACACAGTCACGTGAGGACATTGACTCCCTGATCTCCTCCCTGGTCCCGGAACGACCTTCTTCCTCCACTGGTATACGGACACCGGCACGAAGCCCTGGCAAGCGAGGTAGCAAGCCTGTCGAGCAGACGGACGACTCGGCCGATGAGCCGACGACGAGGCGGTATCAGGATGCTGCTACAGACACGCAGACACTTGCATTCGCCGACTTCCAGACCGTCTACGAGATTCCGGTCGAGAGCAAGCCCGAGGTCATCACCTACAGCAAAGGTGTGCAGACGACAGAGCCGTGGGAGGGCGACGATGCCGGCACGGATGCACCTGCACAAAGCCCGAGCAGGAAACGGCGAGAAGGGCTGAGCGATCGTGAGCGGGAGCTAGAGGAGGAGAGCATACGGCAACGACTCCGACTCGAGATCGAAGAGGAGCTCCGAGCATTGGAACTAGACGACAAGACCATCCCCGACAAAGAGCGCTTCCCGGTCCGCTCCCTCCAACCCGAAGAACTCAATGCAGTAACAAGCAGCAACGACTTCCTCGATTTCGTAGAACGGAGCAGTAAAGTCATCGAAAGAGCTCTAGACGAAGAATACGATGTCCTGGCCGACTACGCTCTGCAGACCCGCGACGCAGAAGAAGATGCAGACGAGTATGTTGGTCGTCGAGGCAGGAGGATCAAAGAAGTGGCATCCTTTTCCCTCTCCGATCAGATGGGCTCGAAACGCATGATTTCCTCTCTCGACTTCTCGCCCAAATTCCCGGAGTTACTATGCACGAGTTATACGAAATCGCAAGCATCGCCACACACACCGCCAGGACTGCTGAATGTCTGGAACTTGCATCTGAAAGGACGACCGGAGTACAGTCTCCACGCCACCTCCGACCTCCTCTCCTGCCTCTTCCACCCGTATCACCCAAATCTGATATTAGGCGGCACCTACAGCGGCCAGCTCTGCCTTTGGGACACCCGGGCCCGCCACCACCGCACCGGCGAGCCCGTCCAAAAAACCCCTCTCACGGGTGGCCGCACAGGCCACGCCCACCCCATCTACTCCCTCGCCGTCGTCGGCACCCAAAACGCCAGCTCCATCGTCTCCGTCTCCACCGATGGCGTCGTCTGCGCCTGGAGCACAGACATGCTGACAGTCCCACAAGAATATCTCGAGCTGCACTCCCCTAACCTCTCGGCCTACAAAACAGACGACGTAGCCCCGACCTGCATCTCCTTCCCGGCCTCGGATCCAACCTACTTCCTGACGGGAACAGAACAAGGCTCCATCCTCCCCGTCCACCGCTACGACCGCGCGGGAGCCAAAGCAGGAGTCGACACCCGAACTAGTTATCAATCCCACATGGCGCCCGTCACAGCCATCGACTTCCATCCAGCCAGAGGGAAAATCGACCTAGGCGACCTTTTCTTAAGCGCGGGAATGGACTGGAGCGTCAAACTCTGGCGCGCCAAACCCGCCAGCTCAACTGCCAGCACAATATCCTCCTCCACCTCATCCACCACTGGCTCCGGCCAACAAAACCAAGAGGTCGTAAAGCCCCTCCTCTCCATCCAACGCGAGGATACAATCTACGATATCCGCTGGTCCCCCACCCGCCCCTCAATCTTCGGCCTCGTCGACGGCGCCGGCCTCCTAGACCTCTACGACATCAACGCCTCGACCGAGATTCCCGTCGCGAGTGCAAAGCCCTCTCATCATGAGAAAGACGTTTTCGGCCTGAAGAGTCTGAGCCAGTTGGCTTGGGAGAAGGGGCAGGGGAGGAATGTGGCTGTGGGGGGACTGGATGGGGTGACGACTGTTTTTGAGCTTGGGGGGGAGCTTGGGGGGGTGGAGATGAAGGGGGATGCGTGGATGGGGGTTAGGCGGTGGGTTGGTCGGCAGGGGAGGACGATAGGGTAGGGGGGAGTGAGTGGATCGTTTGAAAAAGGGAAGAAGCCTCGACGGTAGGGCCATGCTCATACGGACTGAATGCAGCCCGAGCAGAGTATGTATCCAGATCCATGAAGGTAAATATCGTGGTTGCATAATACGTGTTCACGAATGAGCAAGTTCGAAAG